TGAGCGCGAGTAGCTACGGCGGAATATGGCGTAAATATCAGAATGATTAAATTTATCCTCTGAAGATTTGCACGGTTTTTTCTCACTCAGTCCTTGTTTATATTCTGTAATTTAAAATGATTTATCAAACTGTTAGTTTTATATTTTCATTTTTGTTTCATTTGGTGTTGTGTGAAGTGTAGTGCTGGCTACATGGTTTTACTGGTGGTAGAGCGTCTGATTAGCCGGACCTTGTAGGTACTACCACTCTGATTATTTTCTGTTGCGAAGCAGTAATGCGTTCTAAATCGAAATATAGGTTAGCCGTTGTGCCACAGAACTGATACTTTAGAACTCATGTCTTAAGGTGGGCGGCGACATTTACCTATGAGTTCCAGCAATTACTTAACATCAGGTAGGCTGTGAGGTTGTTTACTTATTTAAGTTATAAAAAGTGGTAATAAGAATGATTAACGTGGTGCAAGACACTGGCGATTAGTAATATATTTGAAAGGAGAGTTTGAAACGAATTCTCTCTTCTTCTCCAAGACTGTGGTCTCTGCAACGGTAATATTCTTCAAGAAACTATGAGTTCTTTTTTGGGAGCTAACCATAGCCAGCGATTACCATCGCTCGTAATGCCCGCGTATATTAGACGCTAGCTCTAGCATTTAAGCTGTTTCGATGTGTTGCGGGAGAAATAGGCAGTATGACTTAATCGTATAGCTTAAAAATACCATTAATACATCATTATTGGAACGAAGTTCCTTACGGGACGATGCGGAGGGGTACCCTAACCGAGAAAAAACGTCCGTAACATAAGATTTTTATTATTTATGTATAGTCTTAGTATGATGTATAGTCTACGTGATGACGGTTTTCTATGATATAACATAATTAGGCTTAATTATTATTATTCATATAAATAGCTGTTTATTTGTATATTATTATTACCTATATATATTTTTTATAAATCGTTGTGAATAAAATAAAGTTCATAATTAAGATTTGTCTAAAGTGGAGTCTTGGCGAAATCTGTGATTATAAAAGTATAAAGTCTTTGACAATAGAATCATAATAGTGTCCAAACTTATAATTTCAATTAATTATAGTCGAATTTCTGCTATCGGGGGACTAGTTCTAATAAATATATACTAAGTTTCACAAATATTGCTTGCTTATCTATTGGTATGGTGTTCATTGTCTACGCATAACTAACATCCTTCATACGATCAAGTAAGGCATTAATTAGCTCAACTGCAGATGGAAACCGTTAGAGTCCCAGTTTCTTTGTTGAAGACTTGAAATGTCGGTCGTTACGATTTTATTTTCTCCTTTTACGAAGAATTTAATAGTTTTACGCTGCAACAGTGTCGGCAATCGTAAAATCCAAATCGCGAATTGCACGATCCGGCGACAACGGTTTTTATTATGAAGTTTTGTGGTGGTGTAATGCGATTATATTGCATTTTTTTTTATTGCTTAGATGGTTGGACGTGCTCACAGCCCACCTGGTGTCAAGTGGTTACTGGAGCCCATAGACATCCACAACGTAAATGCGCCACCCACCTTGAGATATAAGTTCTAAGGTCTCAAGTATAGTTACAACGGCTGCCCCGCCCTTCAAACCGAAACGCATTACTGTTTCACGGCAGAAATAGGCAGGGTGGTGGTACCCACCCGCGCGGACTCACAAGAGGTCCTACCACCCGTAAATAGCATTTGGTAGGAAGCCATTGTTCAATTTGAAAGTGGTTCGGTAACTTGAGTATACACCCAACAACAAACCCAATAAATGCTTATTGGTAGAGTATCGCTATCAGTGACCCACTACCATTCTTAATTTCGAAAAACAATTGTTGATTTCTGTTTGAAGGACAGTCGAGTAGGAAAATATAATGGACATTGACCGTTTAATTTTCTTTGATTGAAAAATAATTTCGAGGAATAGATTGGCGCACTATAAAAAGTTGAAAAACTATTCTTTATAATAGCCCAAAGGTGTTTTCAGATATATTTACCTGCTTAGTTCGTAGATGAAATCGAAATTATTTAAAAAGTGAACAGGTGATAATTGACATTGATAGAAGGATTAAAAAAAATTTAGGCAACTACTCCGGTTTGTTGATGCTACTAATGATGTCAATACCTTAAAAAGCGACGCCTTGAATTCATGAAAAAAAAGTTACTTAAATCTATTTTACGACAACGATTTTTTTACAAAAAAATCGGAACTTATAAGTATAAAACAATGCCGAATGAGATTATAATATTATATTTTATATATTATGCTTATACCTATTTCCATATAGTCTTACGGTAGCGGTGTTAAGATTGTAGATTGTAATAGTAATGGTCTTTGGAAATCTCTTAAATTTATTAGGCTTATTTGTTGAGAATTCCAAATTGTGAGTTTAAATGTGAGCTTGAAAAGAAAAAGACAAAAGAAAACCCAATAGGTCTAATGTTTCAGACCAGTCTGGATTAATGAAAAATAGACAGGAAAATTAACGAAATAAAAAAAATAAAAATATTGCCCGTGTAGGCAGACGAGCATACAACCCACCTGATGGTGAGTGGTTACCGTCGACCATGGACTTCGGCAATGCCAGGGACAGAGCCAAGCCGCTGCCTACCGCTTAGTACTCTCCACAAGCCTCGTTTGAAGAAGGATATGTCATAGCGCTCGGGAAACACAGTGGAGGGGAGCTCATTCCAAAGCCGGATGGTAGGTGGCAAAAAAGATCTCTGGAAGCGCACTGTGGATGAACGCAGTGGCTCCAGATAGTATGGATGAACTCACGTTGTGAATTGTAATCAACATATTACCAGTCCAGTGGCCACTTGTTCTAAAAATATCTGCTCTCTGTTTAATGACAAAGTGTTCTGCTCACTTTGTCATTAAATGATAAAGCTTGTAATTAGTTTCTAATGAATGTTCGGAGTAGTACTCGGAAAAGCTAGGCCCCTAATTTAAATTAAACTGGAATCTAAAACTTTGCAGGGCTTCTGCATCTGGCTGACAAGGGCAGACCGCACCTTCGCTCAGCTTTAATATTCAATTTCCTGACGTTAAACCCTCTACGACTTCACATAGTGAAAACTCGCTCGCCAAGTATTGACAGCGAGTCACCCGAGATCTAATTCAATAAGTTTTAATTGATTCCCATTAAGCGTTCAGCCTGAGTTTGCCCTTAATTAACTGTCTTAGGTAGAATATAACTTGTCTCTGGTAATGAGGATCCGTGTATGGTCAGAGCTGTCAGAGCTTCTAAAGTTCAAGGTACTAGTTAGTGGCTTTAAGGAGACATTTCATTAGAAAATAAAATGTATGTATATCGTTAAGCTAAACGCTATATTTAGTGAAATAATTTTCATGTTAGCATATTTCTCTGACCACTTCAATATCCGGGAACTGTTTGTCATTTATAGTACATATTTCACTTCGTATTTCGCGAATTGTGGACATAATAAAAACAATCATTATGATATAACCTCACGTTTTTTTTTGTCATAACATTTTTTTTATTAGAATAGAATATAGAATTTACAGCATAGTAATTTTTTTATTGTTTTTATCTTGCGCCGGTACTCAAATCTCGAATTAGAAAAATAGATATTGCCGTTATGGATGCTATACCATATTCTCGTCTGACCACTCAAATGTACCACAAACACTAGAAGATATCGCATCATCGGAAAATGTTACACCGGTAGTATTCGCAAAATATAAAGATCGACAAATTACACATCAAAGTCTAAGTAAAGTCTGGCTTAAAGGTACGAGTGCACCGGGCGCCTTATCCTTTAGGCCACGGCGACTTTAACGGCGGGAACGCGAGGAGTGAAGTTATGTGATTTGTTTTATTTTGTCTATTTAGTGTTTTTTCAGGTTTAAATGTGTAACAACGGTGGTATATTAACTGTTTAGTATCAGTGAAGTGCACAAATATGGGAAAATGAAACAAAGCCGCTAAACGCAACTTCTCGGGATACTTCTAAAAGTTCACTGAAAAAGTCTAAAGAAATGACCATCATTTTACTGAGATTATATCTCATCTCATTTCATATCGTTGTCATTTCATTTCAATTCATGCCATGTTTCATATTAATTAACTTCATTTCATTTCATAATATCATTTTTCATATAAATAAGTTTCCATTAAAATTAAAATAAGACTTGACCTAAAGATCTTAGGTACCAGGTCATAAAATCCCTTTAAAAAAAAAACTTTCACGATAAGACCGTGTCGATTCTATTGATATTTCACCTGGAACTCCGAGAGATTTTTTTGAATTTGTACCGAATATAAATAAAGTAATAACCGCTTTCAACGCATGGCTTACTGACAGAACCGCTATTAGTGATTTAAAAAATTAATGAAAAGAAAAACAATTGTTCATGTAGCATGTTTTTTTTTTGTAAAAAGGACGTATCACATCTAAATGGCCATTACATCTTGCACATAAATAATTATGTAATATGACAGTATTTATTAAACTATAATAACTCAAAACTTAAAATAAAACAGCATCCCGTGTCTCTGTGCAGTACAAGAAATGGTTTAACTAAATCAGACTAATAGAACATAAATCAGCGAATTTTGGAATTAGTATAGTATAGTATAGTATAGTTACCACGGCTACCCCACCTTTCAAACCGAAACGCAATACTGCTTCACGGCAGAAATAGGCGGAGTGGTGGTACCTACCCGTGCGGAATCACAAGAGGTCCTACCACCAGTAATTACGCAAATTATAATTTTGCGGGTTTGATTTTTATTACACGATGTTATTCCTTCACCGTGGAAGTTAATCGTGAACATTTGTTAAGTACGTATTTCATTAGAAAAATTGGTATCCGACTGCGGGATTGGAACACCGGTGCATCGCTATATACGAATGCACCGCACGTCTTATCCTATAGGTCACGACGACTTTACATTTATTTGATTGTAGTTGATTGAAATTATTGTTATCTAAGTATTTTTGGAATCAATTATAAGCCTATTAGGAATCGACTATAATTTATTTTTGAACAGATGCTTGTTGATTCCTTCGAAGTATATTGGCAAATATTGGTCCCAGTCTATGGTGGAAGGATCGCAGCGGAAGACAGCGCGGTCTGAATCGCTCAGTCCCGCACTAAGCACACGGGCTCGCTCGCAACGAAGCAACCACGACTGAGACGTGAAGAATTCCAGTTGATCACGACTTCTCACTACTAGATTATGCTGCTTGACGAATCTGCAACATATTAAAAGGCTACATTTTACTATGCCGATGAAATGTTTACTGGTGGTAGGATCTCTTGTGTGTCCGCGCGGGTAGATACCAACTACCGCCCCGCCTATTTCTGCCGTGAAGCAGTAATGCGTTTCGGTCTGAAGGGTAGGGCCGCCGTTGTAACTATACTGAGATCTTAGAACTTATATCTCAAGGTGGGTGGCGCATTTACGTTGTAGATGTCTATGGGCTCCAGTAACCACTTAACATCAGGTGGGATGTGAGCTCGTCCACCCAACTAAGCAATAAAAAAAAGGGTAACGCNCCGCCCCGCCTATTTCTGCCGTGAAGCAGTAATGCGTTTCGGTCTGAAGGGTAGGGCCGCCGTTGTAACTATACTGAGATCTTAGAACTTATATCTCAAGGTGGGTGGCGCATTTACGTTGTAGATGTCTATGGGCTCCAGTAACCACTTAACATCAGGTGGGATGTGAGCTCGTCCACCCAACTAAGCAATAAAAAAAAGGGTAACGCCATCGGCATCAAATAGCAGAAACAAATATCAAAATAATTAGTACTATAGGGAACGCTCGGGAAGTGTAACGCCATCTATTGTCAAATCGAGCAAAACGTATGTCGAAACGACCAGTACTATCAGAAATGTTATTGATAATTGTAAACTGGTCGTGTCGATTACAAAAGCGTTGCAGAGATGACCCCGGTTCTACTCGAAATAGAACAGCGAACGGATCATCTGAAGCGAAATGGAAGAAGTGAATTGCGATTTGTAATGTGTACCTTTTTTTTTTTTTTTCCACAGGAGAAAATCGCCGGATCCCCACCCGCGCGGCAGGTGGGGTATGTGGGAGTTGAACCTCACTAAAAACTCCTGCCGCTCACGACCGGCGCCCTACCTCGGACCGGGCCGGAGCCCAGTCGGGGCTATTGAAACGGCGGGACAGGGTTGACGCAGAGCACATTACATCCATCCCACCGTCCCACGGACGCCGGACCGGTGGCCGCCAGCGACACGACCACCGGTTCCCTCGTTCAGCGGGCCGAGAGCCCGCTTTGATGGCGCCGCGTTACACCTTCCCCCAGAGCGGTCGGGGGAACGCGGTCTACCATCACCCGGCTTCCTATTGCGGGTGAGCGTGCAAAGCACGCCACCCCACGTCTGGGTCTCTCCCCGCACAAAACGGGTGGGACCCCTAGCTCTTAGGGGGCCAGGTCACGGATACGACCCCGGTCCCGACCCCCTGCTCGGCGGCGGCGGGTTTCTGCGTAGTGAGGAGAGCTTTCCCTCGCTCGCCCCGCCGCCTCCTTCTGCGAGATGGTGCACTCGCAGAAGTCGAGCATAGCCTTCCATGACTCATCGCTGCCAAGCATCGACGTAATGTGTACCTTAGGTGTTTTAAGTGTTAAATAGAGTTTTTACTTCCGTGAAAGTTTTATTTATCCTTAGCTATAGCGCATCGGACAAACGCATCAATCCTGGAAGAACTAGGCGTCTCCTCAAGACTCTCCACCGTTTGCCTACGTAGGATTTTAGATTTTTTCGGTCACGTTGCGAGGAATAAGGGTGATAATCTCGAAAGACTTCTCATCACCGGCAAAGTGGAAGGAAAGAGACCTACGGGGCGTAGTCCCATGCGCTGGTCCGATCAGATTAAGACGTCTTTGGAATCCAGCATCAATGTCGCTATCCACTGCGCGGAGGACAGGAGTGAATGGAGGAACATAGTCCTAACAAATGTGCTCCGTAAAGGTCATGACCCACAGCACTGAGGAATACGGCGCACGGAGTGGAGCCCTAGCGCATAACATTATATTAGCTGGGATAAATTGATGAAACGTTCGTAACAAGGTGACAGTGTGAAACGGACGAATTAGATTAGTAGTCTTAATAAATCTTGTGAAAACTAACTTGGCTTCTTTCCTCTGGGTTTTCATCCATAAGTCAGCTAGGAAAGCCGGCGTGGTCTGCATGAGAAACGTGACCAGTTTTATTAATGGCTTCTGTTTAGTCAATAAAGTCGTTGCTGCGAATGGTGCGGCATTACCTAAGTAAATTTTTGTATATTAAATTTTGCAATCCATTTACAAATTCATTTGGTTAATTTTTTTTATGATTGAAGTATACTGGTGGCCCGGAGGCCTTTCCAGTTTCACCAGGACAGGTGGGCGAGCAAAGGCTCAGCCAGAAGGGGTGAGATTTGCTAACAGCTGCCCGAGCGCCTCCGAAGGAGACCTAACAGCTCAAGAGCAGCTGCTTCGCGTATGAATCTACTACCGGTTCGGAATCGTGACCCGCTGAGAAGATCCGGCGATAAACTCAGCAAGCTGATTCATGGGTTAGGTTATACGTCGAACTCTTTGTCGAGTTCGACGAGTGCGGTTACCGGGGTCCCTAAGCCTGCTCCTAGTGTTAGAGCTGAAGGCGTCTAATGCAAAGGTTATTGGATTGATGGATCCGTAAGGTCGTGTCTAGGGCGTCGATGGTGACTGGCTCCTGCGTGATCAGGACTCCGGGAGTAGTCAGCGGCGGCAACGATACGGCGATTATCATGAAGCATAGCTTATCGAAGTACCGTTCCGACGCTGACTTCATGTATTTCTGGATTGATTCGAGGCCCAGGTCGTCGTGTAAGTCCACGTTCCTCACGAACCACGGAGTTCCGACGGCTAACCTGCAAAAGCGGGATTGTAGAGATTGGAGAGTGTCTATGTGTGTGCGGGTCGCGTGAGCGAAAACCACAGTCGCGTAAGTCATGACCGGCCTTATGCAAGTTTTGTAAAGTGTCACCTTGTTTCGAAGGGACATTTTACTCCGCTTACAGATCATAGGATAAAGACGGCCGAGAATAAACGCGGCGCGGTCGCGGACTGAAGGTGTTTTATGTATTACCTAAAACGCTACGAAGCAAATGCTTCATCACTAACACGATTTTAATATGCTTTTATTAGCTTGGTATGTATCTACTGGTGGTAGGACTTCTTGTGAGTCCGCGCGGGTAGGTACCACCACCCTACCGCCGTTGTAACTATACTTGAGACCTTAGAACTTACATCTCAAGATGGGTGATGGCATTTACGTTGTAGATGTCTCTGTGCTCCAGTAAACACTTAACACCAGGTGGGCTGTGAGCTCGTCCACCCATCTAAGCAATAAAAAAGTATTTGTTTGAATATAAGAGAATATTGAGCGTCATTTTCAATACTTCCGATTAACTTGAAAATTTTGCATATGCATCACGGATGTATCAATACAATAATTTTAGAATTTCGCTGTAATATCTCCACCGGCATCAACAAAAATTAAAATAAGAGTTGAAATTGATTGGTTACATTGATTTCCACTCGGGATATCTCCACTGAGAAAACCAGTTCTACAAGTAAAAGCCTTTTAACCAAAATTTTTATCACATTTGGTTCACTATTATTATATAAGCAATTAACTACAATGCCTACAATTACAAGACTTCAAATTTGTTTATATGTGCGTACTACCTTAATATTTGATATAGCTTAGCGATTCACTTATAATATATTATCCTGTAAAACGCAAAATATTATTAACACTCTTAGGTACTTACTCGTTGGATTTTTTGATGCGAATTCGGAGAGCTTTATAAATATTCTTCGGATTGAAATGGGATTAAGATCGCTGGTTGTGACGTGATATACTGTGACCTCTTTGGTACTGAAATACATAGTTCCGTACGATTCATTTGGGTATCATCAGCCAATGCTAGCTCGCTTCGAATCAGAAAAAGTACTATTGGTTACTTTCTGGCATGACGGAATAGCAGTGACTTGCAAGAAGCCAGCTTTTTTTATTTTACCTAGCAATATATTTGTATTCTCGATGAGCTATTTTGGCTTAATCTTGACTTTAGTTGAAGGAACAATGATTAGCTAAAGGAGAGCTGTTTGCCACTCGCTATTACCGATATGAAATTTTAGCATAGACTTTTAGTGTTCTAATATTTTCGTAATTATATAAAAGATACAATTTTACTAATGTCATCTTGTTAAGTAAATCTAAATGTTTTACTTTGTGTGCGGCATGAATGGTATGTATCGGAAGCGTGGTAGCATTTAAGGTTCAGCCTCGGCAATGTTGACAGTCATACCTACTCTCTACTGGTGGTAGGACGTCTTGTGAGTCTGCACGAGTAAGTACCACCATCCTACCTATTTCTGCCGTGAAGCAGCAATGACTTTCGGTTTGAAAGGTGGGGCAGCCGTTGTACTCTAAAAATTGAGACCTTAGAACCCATATTTCAAAGTAGGTGGCGGCATTTACGTTGTAGATGTCTGTGTAGTAACTATTTAGGACCAGGTGGGCCGCTTGTCCACCCATTTAAGGAATCAATAAAAATATATATACTTTTCTCTGCTCTTAAACAAGCAATGGAAACTTACGGCTTATTTTTAGCAATCGCTACTAATGTAAGGTTGACAACATAGTCTAGAGGTATCAGATCAATATTCTCCTCGCCTGTGCTGTACATTATGTAGTTCCATCCCTTCAAAGTAAATGCTGCCATAGCAGTTGCACCACTCCAACTATCCACGAACCCTCGCACTGGCTCTTCAGCACTCGCTGTAACTGCAGAAGTAATGTTTATAAGATACCCGAAATGCATGGTGCTGAGACAATTATTTTACGTTCTTGATAGGAAAGGTAGTTGAAGCTACGTTATTAAACAGTGGGTGATATTGTCATTAGATTAGAAATAAGATGCATTAGAAATGTGGTGCTGGAGAAGGATGCTCCGTATATCTTGGACTGAGCATCGCACCAACGCCTCGATCCTAAAATAACTAAATATATCTCACAGGTTGTCGTCAACAGTGCAATCCAGGATTCTTCGATATTTTTGACACGTATCGCAACGGCCAGCAGAGTCTATCGAGAAACTTGTTGTTCAGGGTAGGGGCAATGGTCAGAGATCTCGTGGACGAATCCCCATGCGCTGTACTGATCAGGTGAAAAACTTTACTGAAACCCCACTTAACGAGTGCGTGCGCCGGGCCTCGATTCGCAAACTATAGAAAACATCTGTCAAGGCTTTAATAAGCAAGAATTCCACATGACCACCACTGCTCTGCCAAAAGCAACCTACTATGATGATGATGACGATATTGTCACCAATCTGCCAAGTATCTAAGATATTGGCACGTCAATACTTTACATTTAACCGCCGTATCTTTGAAGATGTTTCAGAAGTGGCACTCGGTTTTCTATCGTAGAAAGCTATTTTTGTGTTCATGATCCTGTATTGGGAAATTTGTATAGTGCTAGTCATGAATCTCATGGATGTTTAGTCGATAAGTACCCAATAATTCTTAGAGGTGTTCCTCATCAACTGTCCAAGAAGGTTGTCCCAATTTGGGTCTAAATTGGACTGCACCATTTTTCTATATAACTCAATTTTGTTGTCTCTTAATTTGTTTTTTGTATAATTCGTAATATATTTGATCTGTGACTTTCTGAGAGCAAATCGTGTCAAATTGAACCTGCTAAATTGGTCGTATCTTGTTCACGCATTCCGCGAATCTATTTTATTATTAACTCCGTATTATTTCTAGGAACAAATAAATTCAACACGTTCTGAATGAAAGTTTAAAACTTACTAATTGAAGGTCTAATGATAATCGTTGGTATTTCACCGTGTTCTTCAGCAACTAAGTTTTCTGCCAGCGCTTTTGTGTACGCATATGTGTTTGGGTGGTTACCTGGGTAAAATAATGTTGTTTTTAGCATGTCTTCTTCTTACGATAACGAGAAAGATATATTCGGTTGATTTTGTTGTTGTCTTGGGCCATTATAGAATTTGATTTTGTCTGAAAGTTCAATTTCTGATTCAAAAGACACTGTAGTCGAGGTAATAGAAATTTTAACATTCATCTCTTATTGAACTGATAATTGATAATGAAGTTACAATTTGATGTAACCATGAGTTTGTCTATCCCAAAAACAGAGACTATTTTGCCTACCGCAGTAATCTTGATAGAAGAAGAGACTGTAATTTGTTGGACAAATGATTTTAATTTTATACTCCATAATTTGGCACCATTCAACGGAAACATAATCAACTCGGGACCAAGCATCATTTTCAACAAAGTCCTAAACAGTACCGAAGATCTTAGATATCACAACATTAATAGTNGTTTGTCTATCCCAAAAACAGAGACTATTTTGCCTACCGCAGTAATCTTGATAGAAGAAGAGACTGTAATTTGTTGGACAAATGATTTTAATTTTATACTCCATAATTTGGCACCATTCAACGGAAACATAATCAACTCGGGACCAAGCATCATTTTCAACAAAGTCCTAAACAGTACCGAAGATCTTAGATATCACAACATTAATAGTACTATGTCCTATTAAGGTTTGATTTTCATCTATATTGAAATAACGACTGGAGAGAGAGAGCCTTCCTAGCCTAGAGAGTGAGACTAGCATTTTAGCGAGGAAAGCGTAATTGCTCCGTGGCAGGCATAGAGAGCAGTTTACTGACTCTTGTGGTTTTAGTAATTTTTATTTTATTTTTTTATTGCTTAGATGGGTGGAAGAGCTCACAGCCCACCTGGTGTTAAGTGATTACTGGAGCCCATAGACATCTACAGCGTAAATGCGCCACACACCTTGAGATATAAGTTCTAAGATCTCAGTATAGTTACAACGGCTTTTAGGCCACGACGAAACCATAGGACATACCATAATGCTCGAGTTAATATTAGCGGAGTTGTTGCGAAAGATACGTACGGGAATTAGGTGGGAATTCTATTGCATCGGACAATATAGAAGTCGTTTCCGCCCGAAAAAGGGACTGGGCATTATAAGTAATATTTTTGTGTTTGAGATGCATACCATTTATAATAATGATGCTTTTTCTAAGTACATTATGATTCTTGGTAACCTTTTTAAACTCACCTATAAATTTTATCATTTCATCGTCGTCTTTACCTAATATATAATGTTCTTCAGCGAACTTCTGTATTTCGCTTAGATTTAGGGACTGAGGATAAAGTTTTTCTTCTAAAATTCTTTGACTTGTGTTAGAATAAGCTGTAGATACATATACGAACATCTGGAATTAAAGTCACATTGTAGTGTCTTTTACATTCAATTTTACTCAAATTAAAGATACTCTGTACATAGAATGAAAAAAAACTGGATAAAACAGAAATAATACTCGAAAAACAACACTTAAATAGAGACAAACGTATCCTCGTACTTCTGTTCTGTGATTTAGCCTGCGAAAGACTGAGATTCAGAAAGATTCACTTCGGCCGCGCGTTGATTGCTTTTGTATATTACTCGTATTTTCCATAGAGGGGTGAACAATTTCACGACCAACCTTTAAGTTAAGTGTTTAATAGAGATCAGAGAGATCACAATGTTCGTGCTGCCACTCACCTTGATACATAAGTTGGAAATCTCAGTTGTGTATAGCGGTGGTCCCAAATACGCAGATTGTTAATACCTACACGTCCTAAACAATACCTACCACTAGTGTCCTGCCACTGGAAAATAGATATTCATGATGGTGGTAGGGCGTCTTGTAACACCAACACGGGCAGGTACCACTGCCGTGCCTATTTTCTAAGAAGTAGTAATGCGTTCTGAAGCAGTCACAAGTATGTCAACAGATCAGTCATTTGCAATACAATTGAGACTTCGATCTTATGTCTGAAGGTATTCAAGCCGGAATCCGGTCCGAAAAGGATCTGAACGTCTTAATTCGAAACTGTTTTTAATTTTATTTTCTTGTACAGAACTTGCTATGCTTAATGTTGTGAGACAAAAAAAAATACATCTAAAGCGCGATATACCTAGTCAGGTCATAAGTATTGTCACACAGTAAAAACTTTTCTTTTAGAATGCTGGCCACAAAAAAGTTTATTGAATTCGAATTTCGAATTGTTCATGAAAATAAAAATGTATACTTTTAGAATTTTACTCATTTTTAAATATGGAGTGGACGCTTAAAGAAGACCGTAACAGCAGTTATTGCGTTGCATCGTTGCGGTTACGCGCCAATTCAAATTTTTAACATACTGAAAAATTTGAATATAACCAAAAGATTCGTTTATCGTACCATCAAACGATACAATGAAGACTCTAGTGTAGATGACAGGTCAAGAAGTGGTCGCCCTCGGTCTGTTAAGACTCCAGCAGTGATAAAAGCTGTGAAGGCGCGAATTCAAAGAAATTCCAAACGTAAGCAGAAACTGTTGGCCCTTCAGATGGCGTTAAGCAGAACCACGGTGAAAAGGGTGTTAAATGAAGACTTAGGGCTTCGGGCATATCGAAGAAAACAGGACATCGTTTGAATGCTCGTCTAATGGACCTGAGACTGAAGAGATGCCGCGCTTTGTTGAAGCGGTACGCGGGAAAAAAATATCGGGAAATTCTTTTTTCGGATGAAAAAATTTTTACCGTAGAAGAGAGCTACAACAAACAAAATGATAAGGTGTACGCACACAGTAGTGAAGAAGCGAGCAACCGTATTCCGCGTGTCCAACGAGGTCATTTTCCATCCTCGCTCATGGTATGGTTGGGAGTTTCTTATTGGGGCTTAACAGAGGTACATTTTTGTGAGAAAGGTGTAAAAACGAATGCAGTTGTGTATCAAAATACAGTCCTGACGAACCTTGTGGAACCTGTTTCTCATACCATGTTCAATAACAGGCACTGGGTATTCCAACAAGATTCGGCGCCAGCTCATAGAGCGAAGAGCACACAAGACTGGCTGGCGGCGCGTGAAATCGACTTCATCCGGCACGAAGACTGGCCCTCCTCCAGTCCAGATTTGAATCCGTTAGATTACAAGATATGGCAACACTTGGAGGAAAAGGCGTGCTCAAAGCCTCATCCCAATTTGGAGTCACTCAAGACATCCTTGATTAAGGCAGCCGCCGATATTGACATGGACCTCGTTCGTGCTGCGATAGACGACTGGCTGCGCAGATTGAAGGCCTGTATTCAAAATCACGGAGGTCATTTTGAATAAACTTTAGTGTCATAAGAATCTATGTTTTGTTAAGTTCATTTTGGTATATGAATGGTTACATAATGAATAAACTTGTTTCAATTATTTTACATTAAACATGTGACAGAATTTATGACCTGACTAGGTATAGTATATAAATAATCTAGTATATTAAAAATTGAATACTTGTTGCGGGTGAGATCGAGACTATTTACTTGTTAACTTTTTTTCGTTTATAACCTTAAAGTCCTTTGTGTGTTTACAAATTGCAACTAAGTATTTGATTATGTGCATGATTTTATGTGACTATCTATGGGTTTGTTTGTTTGTAACAATGTAATTATTTTTAAACGGAAATAACTTTGAAACTAACCTATCGAATTGTTAATACTAAACTGACAAAGTGTTTTTATAATGGACGATCGGTGTCATTCATGGGTCATAATAATAATTATAGTATATGGTGTTGAATGGTAAACATTATGCATAAACATAACTACGTGAATGGGGCTTGAGTGAAAGCACGTGACTACGTAAGCCTTGAGGCATGAGGTCGGTAGGCAGCGGCTTGGCTCGGTAGGCAGCGGCTTGGCTCGGGAGGCAGCGGCTTGGCTCTGCCCCTGGCATTGCTGAAGTCCATGGGCGACGGTAACCACCCACTATCAGGTGGGCCGTATGCTCGTCTGCCTACAAGAGCAATAAAAAAAAAGCGAGAAGAGGAAGGAGGGTAGTTACCTGACGCAACATTGGACAGACAAAGTGGAATTCGGAAGACGGAAGACGTGTATATTTTATTTACTTTGCTATAACAAAGACTGCCTTAAAATCAAGTTAAAGGTAACTATTTGTTTTGGCCTAAATAGAGGTTCCCACACAAATACATTATTGAACAGGTAATGTACCAACCGCTAAGTTTTTCATTTCTTTAACGAGTTCCAACACTTTCATCGTACCTCCAACATTCGTGTTCAGAGTAAATTTTAAATGATCGTTTAGTTTGACCGAAGCGGCCGAGTGAATCACTATCGACACCTGAAAGAAAAACAACTTTAGCACGTTACCGAAGGCATCACTGATTCATAACCACAAGGACTCAAGACTCTTGTTTACTGTCTAGTTAATCAAATAGTTCTTTTCACAGTCCATCCACACAATTGAATATCAACTCCCACCGTAAGGTATACTGGGTAATGAGGGAATACAGGCGGCCCGGAGGCCTTTCCCCTTTCACCAGGATAGGTGGGGCGAGCAAAGGCTCAGCCAGGAGGGGATGGGAGTTGCTAACAGCTGCCCAAGCGTTTCCAAAGAAGACCTAACGACTCAAGGGAAACAGCTTCGCGAATGAATCTATACCCTAGTTTGTTGTTCTCTGCTATTGCACAGGACGTGCTTTGAGCAATTGTTTGCCTTCGTGATTCTGTTTTCTTTTCAGAACACCTCGCTTTCGCGCGTTCTGTACCAAACATCCAGAACCGACCTTTGATGCATTCAGTGAATTTTCATTGATCGTATTGATAATATTGGATTATATATTATATAGTATTCATAATAATATTCATGCATTAATCAATAATTAATTTGGTGCTAATACGAGTATAAATACTTCATCAAATAAGTACATACCTCGTTGATTAATATATTTCTTTCTTCATCGCACAATCCTAGTTTGGGTGCGGTGATGTCACCAGAGATGGGAATGATTTTTTTGAAATATTCTGGATGTTCGTATTTTATTCGTGAAAAAATCTGAAAAACGAATCGGGTATTGGTGGTTAGACGAATTGTCGGTCAATTTGGGTGTTCCTTACCAATATCATAACCACGATCCGACTATAGAATTAGACATACGATGTCACTTTATCAGCATCGTGGGAAATAAAATATGTTTGTCTACGACCAAAAACACACCCAATCATTGCACTTGTACCGTACTGATTAATTCTATTGGATCAATAAGTTTTAAAAATAGGACGGCATGAATTGACTGTCTAAATAACTAAAAAACAATTGAAAATTAAAAACAAATCACACATAAACATCTGAACCCAAAACTAGGATTTCCGGGACTATAGGAACTAGATACTGATATGTTAATTTATATGCATATTTAGAGATCAAATACCCGGACATAGAGTGAACAAGCCGTTTTGGTAAATTAATAATTGGTCGAAATGGGGATTGAATCCGCAGCTGTCGGTCTAGCAGTGACGGACGCTAATTTTTGCGTAATCGGGTCAGTGAGTGATTGCTTTGTATGGAAAATATTAAGAATCATTTCACAAATTAAAAAAAACTCAATACTAACGGGCTGATCAAGATATTTTCTCATTCGCTCTTCAGTGTTCGACCCTTTCTTGTTTCGAATCAAAATGTAAATGCTTACTATGCCCGGACACGAATACGCAAGTTTCTCAACGTACGCCTGGAAAGAAATGCGTATATAATTGAAATAGAAATAACAAATTTATCTTCAGAGATATTATGTTATTGTTGGCAACGAACATAGAGTCCATTTGAAGGTTAGTGGCAAAGCCACGGTACAGATAGGCTGCTCCTTATTGTTAATTTATTAAACCTTGTTTGTCATGTCATGGACATGTCATAGAACAAAAGGAACGCCATTGTAGTTTCGATGTTTAATAGTCTTCTTGTTAGGTGTCATTGGCGCAACGCTTTCTCTTATCATGTTACGTAGTTATTTGTCGTATATATATATGCCTATCCGAAGTCAGCCTTCCCTGAGTATATCTTCATTTTATTTATTATACCTAAGTGCTTCGTATCTGGTGTAAAGTGGTTACAAGAGCCCATAGATATCAACGAATCTTCAACATGAATTCTAAGTCTGAATTTTTAAAGTACCACGGCTGCCCCCTCCTTTCAAAGGTATTACTGCTTGACAGCATGCATAGGCCGGATGGTGGTAACAGATTACAGACTTTTTTCAAATTACAGACATACATATTCGCTGGTAGCCCAAGGGACGGGTAGGTGAGCTCTCGGGCTCAACCTGAAAGGATTTTGCTAACACTAGCCCTAGCAAGAGCAGTTCTGTGCAGAATCTACGACTGGATCGAAATCGCGACCCGCTGAGAAGATTCGTAAATCAGTGGGCTGTGTCTATGGGGATTATATTTTACACTTGGGCAGCATGTTCTGTGTTATAAATGTATAATTTTTTTAATTTTTTTTTATTGCTTAGATGGATGGACGAGCTCACAGCCCACCTGATGTTAAGTGGTTACTGGAGCCCATAGACATCTACAACGTAAATGCGCTACCCACCTCGAGATATAAGTTCTAAGGTCTCAGTATAGTTACAACGGCTACCCCACCCTTCGAACCGAAACGCATTACTGCTTCACGGCGGAAATAGGCGGGGTGGTGGTACCTACCCGTGCGGACTCCCAATGACTTAATAAATTGATTCTAGACTTGATTAAGATTTATCGCTATTTGAAATTGAAGGCTAGCACACTGACGTTGTAGCGTGACAACAATTGCAAGATATTTTACAATACATATTGTGTAACTAAGCAAACTGTGTAGTTTCAATGTAGTTTAATTTACGCTCTAGGTTTATAACAATGTCATTGCATCGTTAACTAATAACTATTTAATATTATCGTGAGTGATGAGCTCACCGGATAATAAAATTTACAAAACTTTATCTTTCATGCCAAATGCTATTAATCATTTATAATACATAGTAGAATAGGAAACGCAGCGCATACAATAAAACTTCCACTGTTCCAAAATCTTATGATAAAATAATAATAAAAAAATTATTAACACTTTTATTACACCTTGCTCATTTTTTAACCGTCTTCGCCATCTTTCTTTCCTTTTCTGTCATTCTGTTTGTCATTCTCTTTTCCCTTTATTTCCGTTTTCTCTCACTCACATCCTAACGCTCCGTTCCAAACTCTTTTCATGCGTTCCGTTCTTACCAATCCTACGTATATAGTATAAGCATAATGCCATACTTAATAATGGTTTTTCACTTTGTTTTTATAAATTTTTGTATCGGTATTAAATGGCTTGTTTGCATAGCCCGTATTCCTCGAGATTCAGACTTGTTGTTTTGAAATTGAAATCTCATGTTTTGAAATTGAAATCCGGGCTAAGCTGAACATTGTTGGTCAGTCGCTCACCTTTCCAAGGAATCCGGTCGCTCCTGTAATAAATACGGATTTACCATCGTAAAATTCGCTCACGGTCTGATAATGTTCATCCAAAGTTCCATTGTGTGACATCTAGAAAAAAAAAAAGAAGCTAATACGCATTCATGTTACATGATCTAATCATGAACGGCTGTGTATGCTGAAATTAATATTAACAATAGCCATGGTAATCGACAAAAACAAAATACACTTGTCAAATTTCACATAATAAAAAATAAAAGCATTTAAAGGTAGTAGGACCTCTTGTGAGTCCGCACGGGTGGGTACCACCACCCTGCCTATTTCTGCCGTGAAGCCGTAATGCGTTTCGGTTTGAAGGATGGGGCAGCCGTTGTAGGTGTCTATGGGCTCCAGTAACCGCTTAACACCAAGTGGGCTGTGAGCTCGTCCGGCCAACTAAGCAATAAAAAAAAATAAAAAAAAATAGCCCTCATTACAAGAGGCGACGTAGTTCGCTCCCGTTTGACCGAAGATATAATTATGAATATCATGCTGGGGTACTATGGTGCAGTAAAAGCAATCAATCTAACTATGCAGCCTATCGATTCTCTAATATGCGCCACGTCGATTCAGCCTTTGTTGGCATTGACATGAAGCCAAATGAGTACGTCAAGTCCATACACTACGTTACGTCTATAAACATGATATTCCAAAAAAATATGGCAGCTCGTGTGGCGTTTCCTTTTATGGGACTAACACTTGAAATATATTATAGTGTTTGTTCATTAGAGCCAGTCACTTTGGCGGACAGAAATGAAGAAATTAATGGTAAACAGTAACAAACTAAAGAGATTTTCTTGCAACTTTTTACTTATAAACGCGAAAAATACTTTTTTTCCCCGCTAAACAACTTTTAATACCTATATGCCAATATTGAAAAAAAATTAATCATTACCTTGGAGTTTGTCGCGGAATTTGAAAATAATTTGAACCTGATCACAGTTTTTCCTTAACAAAACTTATAATCGTTTAAATCAGGCAAGTATTGTTTCGTCGCTGCCTCACTGTCGTATGACAATGCATGAAAAATTTGTTACTTTATATAGAACCTTGAAAACCATTTAATAGATTTTAAAAAACTAGTGGTCCCGCAGTAGTCGAAATTCGACTGTAATCAATTGAAATTTTATGTTTAAACATTATTACGGTTCTATTGTCAAATACTTTTAGACTAACATAATATTATCACAGATTTCGCCAAAACTACACTATACATAAATAATAATAAAGACTAGAGGTCCCGCAATAGTCGAAATTCGACTATAATTAATTGGAATTGTAAGTTGGTACACTACTATGATTGTATTTTATACTTCTATAATCACAAATTTCGCCAAGACTACATTATAAAAAATATTAACAAAGACAAACAATATTTAATCTCAATTTGACAACAGACGTCAAGAACAAAAGTTTGACAATAAATAGTATGCATGCGTGTGTGCGTCAAATACATGGTATGTAGTGTGTATAANATTAATTGGAATTGTAAGTTGGTACACTACTATGATTGTATTTTATACTTCTATAATCACAAATTTCGCCAAGACTACATTATAAAAAATATTAACAAAGACAAACAATATTTAATCTCAATTTGACAACAGACGTCAAGAACAAAAGTTTGACAATAAATAGTATGCATGCGTGTGTGCGTCAAATACATGGTATGTAGTGTGTATAATGTTTTATTTATTGATTTAACGTATATTTTATGCATTATTTAAAAAAAATATTAGCATTGTGCACTGCTTCTCTATATTCTCTATAAGTGTGGAAAATTTCATACTCCTCCGTCCGCGCAATTTTCGTAAAAAGGGATACAAAGTTTTTGCTTCACGTATTAATATATAGATAAACAATATTCATCTATATCATTTGACCACAGACTTTAAACACTAACAAAAGTTTGACAATCGACAATAAACAAAGAGTATATTTATATATATGTGTTGTGTCAAATACATGGTAGTGTGTGTAATATTTTTTTTATTGATTTCATGTACATATTTATTATGCATTATTTTAAAAAAAAAATTAGCATTGTGCACTTCTTCTCTTTATTCTCTATAAGTGTGGATAATTTCATACTCCTCTGTCCGCGCCATTTTCGTAAAAAAGGATAAAAAGTTTTTGCTTCACGTATTAATATATAGATACGATCTACTCTGATATAATATAGTATTACAGGGGTGTAACTACATAACTTTTTTTTATTGCTGTTTTTGTGAATACGGCAGCAATGCCAGGGGCAGAGCCGAGCCGCTGCTTACCGTTAAGAACTCTCCAGAAATAGGAATGTCATTAGGAAACATCGTAGAAAGGAGCTCGCTCATTCCAAAGCCGGATGGTACTGTTATATATTTTTAATGTACCTAAAAATGCAATGTAAGGTGCACGACGTAATGCAGCTCAGTTAGGTTGCCGATAGATCACGCCGTTCAATTCTAACCGCGCTCCCGGTGACACTTGCCCCAATTAATTTCAATTGTTAATTTCAAATGTTTTAATTATTAGAATTAAATAAAGTTCTTTTTTTAAAAAGCTTTTCTAATAAATTCTCGTAAAAGATCTCTGGAAACGGATTATGGATGAATGCAGTGGCTCTATAGTGGTAGTATAGATGAACTCTACTCCGGTGGTGGGCGGTGCGATGGTAAAAACGAAATTATGATATTTACTAGTACTAAATTCGTAGTAAGACGAGTTTGTGAATAGTAACATATTGTATAATGGTTGTCATATCTTCGAAGACACAGCATTTGACTGCTTCGCGATAGAAATAGGCAGGATCTTAATACCTTCTCTGTGGAACAGGTCCGTATCGGCCCGCCGCGGTACTGTCAGCTGGTGCGGGCGAAGAAAACTATGTCCGCCTACGCCATGTCGTCGTTGGCGGCCGCTCGCCATGCGAGGTTTCTCCTCCGGCCGGTGCTGGCCTCCAGATTGCCGGTCAGGACTAAACTCGGCATTTACAAGACGTATGACCGTTTCCGTATCACGTAAGTAGCTGCGGCCTGGTATCATTTCATCCCGCAAGGGATGCGCGAGAGGTTATATGCCTAGCAAAATTCGGCTCTTCGCGCGATAGCAGGAGCAGGGCATTACGTCAGCAATTACGTAATTGCCCGGGATCTAGGTGTGGAGTCGTTCGAGGAGTTCATCCGGGGCTAGATCGTAATCTTTACGAGCGGACTGATGGTGGACCCCACGAGCACCTCCGCAATATAGCTCCCTTGCACACTAGGTCACGTCCTGATGGTCGGGCGCTACCGGAACCCCCAGCTATGGCAAGATAGTCGACTTAATCGGAGTGATATGGGAGTGTTCATAATGAGTGCCCCCATGGGACTGATAGGTGCCCCCATGGGACTGATAGGTGCCCCCATATATCATTCCCTCCCACATTGTTGGGGTGCCCCCTTATGGGAACCCATTTCCCACCCCCTTGGGTTGACCACTTTCCCGTCTGGGGAGTGTTTTTAACTCGGACTCTCCCCACTTAGGTCTTCCACCTTCTGGGAAGCCCTGAGCGGGTGAGCGCCAGATCAAGTGCCGCGGCTCCTCTGTTTTGTAGGGGTGGGGCCGGTGGCGGGCCCTGATCGTTGCTAACTGTTGTCCTTTGTTTACTGTATTTAGTTTTAGTTACTTGTAAGGGAAAAAAAGTAAAAATAAACAGAGGACAGCACGACGCCGGAGGGTCCTTGCCGATGAGCGTCATCCATTCAACAACTCAAGCCCATCGTATATTATATTTAACTATATGTAGATGTAAATTGCGGCTGAACACGCCGCGAACAGCTCCCAATGGGGCTGCTCTCAATTCCCCAGCACAATTTCACCACTGCCCTGTGTGGCAGGGAGTTCATCCCCGGCTAGTGCCCCGTAAGGGGGTGCGATGACCACAGTAAGTAAGTACGCAAGCGTCTACACGGGGCATATTTGACATGAGACGGTTTATCTTATCAACCCCGCCCACTTGTTGATTATATAAGTGTATAGTATATAAATAATCTACTATATTAAAATTTGAATACTTGTTACGGGTGAGATCGAGACTATTTACTTGTTAACTTTTGTTCTTTTACGACCTTAAAGTCCTTTGTGTGTTTACAAATTGCAACTAAGTATTTGATTATGTGCATGATCTTTTGTGACTATCTATGGTTTTGTTTGTTTGTAACAATGCATTTATATTTAAACAGAAAATAACTTTGAAAGTAACATATCGAATTGTTAGTATTAAACTGCCAATTTGTGTATTTTTTAAATTAATTAAGATACTCCTGTAAAAAAACTCTCCACGACTGTTACGTGTAAATGTTTTTCAAGGTTAATAAATAAATTATTATTATTATTAATTATTTATGAGCCATATTATTATGTGGTGTTAAATAATAAACAGAATTCATAGATATAACTACGTGAATGGGGCTTGAGTGAAGAACTACGTGACTACGTAAACCTTGAGGCATGAGGTCGATGGTTGTGGGAGAAACAGGGAGGATGCTGCTAGTGGTAGGCAGTCTCAAACATGTTCTCAATGCAGGGCTAAGCGCTAATCATCATCATCAGCCTTTATCTGCCCACTGCTGGACATAGGCCTTCCCCAATGCCTTCCACATAATGCGGTCCTCCGCCTTCCGCACCCAACGACTTCTCGCCGTGCGCACTAAGTCGTCAGTCCACCTGGTTGGAGGACGCCCCATGCTCCTGGTAGCCATCCGTGGCCTCTATTCGAGGACTTTTCTCCCCCACCTGGCTAATATGTAATTACACAGATTTATAAATTTTGCTGCTTTAATTATTAACACCCGACATTTTATTATTGGATACGTTGGGTACACATATTTATATAACGTGACGTGCAAATACCTACGTAAACAAATCGGTTAGTATTTTAATTCATTTAAATTAATTTTCCCTTTTTTTTGTATTTTCGTTTTGTATAACTCAGTACGAAATTAGGTTTTTAATTTAAATTTATTAATGTATGTATATATTTTTTTTTATATTTCAGACATATTCATCAATCATTCAAATTGCATTGATAGGATAGATGGATTACCATCCATAATACGGAATAATTCTTCTTTATAAAAGTTTGCTTGGAAGACATTGTTTTCAGCGGTAGGGCCGTAATAGTAACGTTATCAATTATCTTAAGCTTATCATTTTTTGAAATGACTTTCAGTAAAGTGTTTTTTTTATTCGGTAAACATTTTTACGCCTTCACCAAGCTATTTTTGTAAGCTGTTTGCATATCATTTGAAGAAACTGTACTATAAAAAATGAGATTTAGAACTCATATCTCAAGGTGGCATTTAAGTTGTTCATATCTTCAGGCTCCGGCAACCACTTAACGCCATGAGGGCCCTCATCCATCCATCTAAGCAAAAGTAAGTATATACCGCAACTCAACAGCTTTGTAGATCGGTATAATCGCATCTCTCACACCTGGTCAGGGCGGCTGCGACTCCGCACTCGTAGTTACGAATATCCTGCCTGGTTGAAGGTAGATCTCTCGTCAAACAACACAGTGGAAACTTTGACCAGATGCGTCAATATGGGTGGCGGCATACACAATGATCTGTGCATAGATAATACACATAAATTAGTTAAAGCAACTCAAGCACTCAACAAAAATGTTTACGGGCGTCGGCCACTAGATGGCTTCACTTCAATTAGTTTCTCGTTGCCCCTGTAGATGGCAGTAACATATTACCTATCCTATATTTTATTTTTAATGAAGGATTTTGTAAATTTTCAGAAACCACAAATTGATAAAGTTTAATCAATTTGTCTATAACAAATAAAGACTTGTATGATTTATTAGTTTTTTTTTCTGTGTGTTAGTTATACATATAAATGCCTTAATATAAGTTTAGGGGCATGCGTTACAAGATGTTGCTAGTTACCATACAAACAAAATATTTGTCTTAAAATATCGCAGTTTCAGAGCCCTGGATATATGAACTGCGGTACCCACTTGACATCAGGTGAAAAAGTTATTTATAATCTACCAGACCTACATATTATTATTCTAATTAATAAGATTTTGTTACATATCTACTTAGCAATATCTAATAGTATATATGTTTTTGTTTGCATCATTTTCCGTTTCCGATATAATCTGTGTGCACGCTATCAATTCAAGAATAAAGCTATGTTCACTCTGCTAAATGTGTATTAATAAAAAAGGAATCCAGTAACATCCAAAATACAGCAACCTCCTGTGATAAACAAATTATCAAAAGATTTTAATAAATATACTATAAATAATGATAAAAATGCAACAACCTAAAGATGTATTGGTGTGTAGACGTAACGCGTCTGGACTAATATAGAGCTGTATTAGAACTACTTAAAGGCATAATTAGTTACGCATTGTACAATCGAAGTTAAAACCACAACTTTTTTTTGTTATTTTGCATATAATAAATTTAAAAGCGTCATTCGTATTCTATCAACTCATTTATTATTTATTGTATAATGATATCAAGTGCTTCAGTCAATAAAAGAATTAACTGCGTTTTCTGTAATTTAAATACGAACAATGAAGTTGATAATATTGCAATAGAATACAATTACAATTAACAATTGACAATATAAAATTAAAATTATAATAAATTCATCTAACATAATATTCACTCACCTTGTAATATAGTCTGGCCATAAATACTGTTACAAAGGAAAACAAAAAAAATTCTATTGCAAATAACATTTATTACTTCTACAGTGTGTTAGTTTAATACATAAATATAAAACAATTTAAAGTATAAAAAGCTTATTCGAAGTAGTCTCCATTGGCTGCAATACAGTCCTTTAAACGTTGAGGCCAGTTATCAATAGAAGCACGCACTCTTTTCATGGGAAAAATTTTCACTGCCAATCGTACGGATTGTTTTAGGGACTCCAAATTATCATGGCGCTTAGAGCAAGCCGTACTCTCTAAAACTGACCATAAATCATAATCCAGCGGATTAAGGTCGGGATTAGACGACGGCCAGTCCTCAGCTCTGATGATGTCCGAAACGTTCATTTCCAACCAAGACTGCGTAGACCGAGCTTTATGACCTGGCGCAGAGTCTTGCTGGAAGGACAATTCTTGATTATTGAACATGGTGTTGTTAAGGAGCTTCACTACCTTCTCAAGAATGGTATCTTGATACAATTGTGCCGATGTTTTGATACCTTTTTCACAAGAGTATGGCTCCGTCACTCCTTCATAGCTAATACCCCACCAAACCACCACTGAAGTCGGATAGTGCCCACGTTGCACTCTGTCGACTAATTGGGAAGCTTCCTTAGAGCTTTGAGTATAAATACGGTCATTTTGTTTGTTAAAATGTTGCTCAATTGTAAAAAAATTCTCATCCGTAAACAAAAATTTTCTATGACCTCCCACCCTATTCTCTTTTAAATTGTCAGTTAAGAAATGACCAGTACGTCTTTTATAAGCTGCAAGTCCTAAGTCATCTTTTAAAATACGCGACATGGTTCTAGGTGCTATCTTCATTGCCCGAGATAAAATCTTTTGCTTTCGAACAGGATTTCTTCGAATTCTTTCCCTTACTGCTTTGACCACCTTTTGCGTACGAACACTACGTGGACGGCCAGATCTTTTTCTGTCACAAACAGAGGAGGTCTCATTGCACCTATTAATAGCCCGGTACACAAACATTTAACTAATACCAAGCGTATGGAGAGTTTTAAAAATTGCATTTGGCTCCATACCTACTTTGTGTAATGCAATCACAGCGATTCGGTTCTCTTTATCACCCCACTCCATTTTAATATCGCAAAATATTGTACAATGTATTGGCGCCAAAATGAGAAAACTCAATGAGCAATCATATAAAAATTACAGATTCCAAATTCAAATGTAATATTTTGTTTATTTTTAATTGTAACAGTATTTATGGCCAGACTAAGTAGATAAGAAAACAACATTTAAAGCCCTTAATATCTTTATTTCAATTAATATTTTGAACAATATTATTATATTATTTAAGATTGTAAGTGAACTATGTAGTCTAAGAAAAATCTTTTTAAAATTAAAGAGATTTTTGTTTACATCTATATACCTATAATATAGGTATATATAAAAATGAAATGCTGTTCGTTAGTCTCGCTAAAACTCGAGAACGGCAGGACCGATTCGGCTAATTTTGGTCTTCAATTATTTGTGGAATTCCAAAGAAGGTTTAAAAGGTAGATAAATATGAAAATGCTCGGAATTAAATAAAAATAACAATTTTGTTTTCCTTTTGATGTGTCCCCCATCGGACGGATTCCTTTTGTTTGTTTTATGTTTATTTTATACAAAAATTTAGGTTTATTTATCGATTGAGGCACTACGAAGTCTACCGGGTCAGCTAGTATTGTATAAATATTCTTCTAATTATCAAATCCGGGGCAGCCGTTGTAACCATACTCAGACCTTAGAACTTTTATCTCAAGGTGGGTGGCGGCATTTACGTTGTAGATGTCTATGGGCTCCGGTAACCATTTAACACCAGGTCGGCTGTGAGCACCCATCTATACAATAATATAAATAAAATGGGAACTCCTATCACTCATTCCGCGAGTCAATTTGTGGATTCCATCGTTTGTGCGCTGAACATTGCTGATCACGTTGTGTGAAGTTATTGTTATATTATAAATACTATTTTTATTTATGTACGACAGGGAATAATTTTGGAATGGTTGAAGCGGCAATGTAAAACGTTGTCACCAACGATACATTGCGTGCCATTAAAAGGCAGTTTTTTTTTTCTGTTCACAAGAAAACAAAAAGCTTTTAATTGTTCGACGCATCTGTTCTTAGGTTCTTCGGTTTTTCCAGTAAAAATTTCGTGACACCATCGAAGTATATTTGTGCGTATTGCTCCCAATGTATAGTGGAGGGGTCGCAGTTGAAGACGGCGCGGTCCAGGTCACTCAGCTCTGCATTAAGGGCGCACACTCGCTCACATTTAAACAACCACGACTTAATTAAGAAGTAACGTAATGACTTCACAATAGAGTACAACTTGGATTGTGTTCTGAAGAGCCTTGAAAGGAAAAAAATAATTAAGAAATGTCAAGCGCCCCTCCATTTTATTTAACGTATTGTTACGCCGGTGAGAGTAACACCATCTATCGCCGAATATTCGAACGAATATCGAAGGACCTAGTAGCACCTAGAACGTTCGAGAAGTACAACGCCATCTATTGACAGCTAGCGGAAACGACTACTAGAGATGTGTGGAATATTCTCGATAATTTTAGAGATGAGGTATCGACTACAAAAGCGTTGTAGAGATGGCACGCAGTCAGTCAGTAATCGGAACTAATCGAAGCGAAACAGCGAACGGATCACTTGAAGCGAAGCGGAAGAAGCGAATTGAGAGTTTCAAAGTGTTTATTGAGTGTTTTAAGTGTTCTACGTGTTAAATACAGTTTTTAGTTGTACTTTGGTGGAAGTTTATTTATCCCGAACCCCAGCGCGTAACAGTATGAAATAAGTAAAGAAAGGTAGGTAAGGTAGGTAGGTAGGTAGGAAAGGTAATAAACAAGGTAGAAGGGGAAGAGGTCGACTGAAGAATATATGGATGGAGTGTGTGAATGACGATATGAGAGTGAGAAGAGTGAGTGTTGAAATGACGGCTGATAGAAGAGAATGAAAGAGAAAAATCAGCTGTGCCGACCCCTCCTAGTGGGATAAGGTGGAGAAAAAGAAGAAGAAATAAACAACGAAAGGGTTATTTTGTCGCCGTCATCATGTGTCAACCTAAAACGGAAATGCCGCCACCACTCGGAGATATGAAGCAAAAGATTGGTATAAGGTCCGTTAGGAGTGCACCGTGAAATTACTTAATCGCAAATAGTTAAACGTATTTATTTTTAGATCATGTTTTTTTGCTTCCCAAAAGCTAAGATGAACAATAGCAATTTGTTATGAATAAAATATTATGTGCGCTGGGAAACGGAAAAAAAGGAAATATCGTTAATTTTTCATGTTCCTAATCCTTATAACAATTGAATAATGGTAAAAAGATAACAAGCACGTTTTTATTTGTAGTCTGGTGGCGGTAAATGCATTATCTTATCTAAAAATATGTAATAGTTATTTCTAAAAAGAACTTAGCATAATTGAAACCGTAAAAAGAAATATTTCTTTACATTGTCTGCTTGCCGAAGATTCGCATCACGAAATCTGCGAGTCCAGCCATAGTCATTAGAAAATAGCTCATAACCTTCAGCATCCAGATGTGCGGGTTGAATAATATTAGGTACGGAAATGGGAAAACATCTGAAAATTTTTCAATTATTAAGTTGCATTTATTTGTTGTTGGGAAAGATTTCTTCTGCTCCGGAGAGCTTGCCGCTTAACTAGCACGTGCGGGTGAGCTCGAAGACACTATTAGGAGGTGAAGGCTTGAAGTCGTCGTGGCCTAAAGGATAAGACCTCCCGGTTGGTGCATTCGTGTTGAGTGATGCACCGGTGTTCGAATCCCAGGCGGGTACAAATTTTTCTAATGAAATACGTACTCAACAAATGTTCACGATTGACTTCCACGGCGAAGGAATAGCATCGTGTAATAAAAATCAAACCCGCAAAATTATTACTGATTGTAGGACCTCTTGTGAGTCCGCGCGGGTGGGTACCATCACCCTGCCTATTTCTGCCGTGAACCAGCAATGTGTTTCGGTTTACAGGGTGGGGCAGTAATTCTACTATAAACTGAGACTATAGAACTCATGTCTCAAGGTGACCTTAACGTTGTTGATGTCTATGGGCTCTGGTAAACACTTCAACTTCAAGTTAGCCGTGAGCTCGTCGACACATCACAGAAATAAATAAAACTCACAGGACACATTTCAACATCCTGAGCTACACAGTGGCTATAAATCACAAACGATCATTCATCTGCATTAGCTGGTAATGAAACGTTGAGTATAGAGATTAAACTTACTGGTCTTTCGTTTTACAGCGACATTACAGTAGAGCGAACAGAATTGTTTTAATGTAATTGGATTGCAGGAACCAGAACAGCTATTTAGAATTGTTACTTTTTTGGAACTGTAACAAAAATCCAGTTTTATTTTTCATTTTATTTTTTGTTTTCTTCCTACCTAATTTAACAAGTAGGTTAGCTCGCGAGGCTCAAACTTGGGGGCGTTGCTAACAAAGACCTAGTAAGAGCAATGCTTCGCAGAATTTACCACCGGATCGGAAACGCGGCCCACTGCGAAGATCTGGCGAGAAACTCAGTGGGCTGTGTCTATGTGTTAGTTTTCTCTTGTTCTTGTCTAATCTAATCGAGTCATTGAGCATTTTTACAGTATCATAAAAGTGGTTAATAAGCTAGGTTTTTTTTACATAGTTCGTAATAAAGGTCGGTTTATTGTTGGGGTACCAAACAACATATAAATACCTACATCGACAATATACAAATACCTAATGATTATTTTGTTATTGATTTAAAATCACCTAATTAAAAGTACTTTTACGGTTTTTAATCTCGCTTTTTTTTGTGATTTCATAATTGAATTATTATCCTAAAATTTGTTTTAATTGTGTTTGAGACTCGCTTAAGAAATTCGGAGAAGATTTAATTCACCTGTTACATTTAGCAGCAGCTACTAATGTGAGATTACAAACAAAATCTACTGGGATCAAATCCAGTATGCTATGCTTATTGCCAGGTAGCACACGGCATAAAGCATTCCCCATCAAATGCAGTATTCCTGTGGCTCCATTCCAAGTGTCAACCCATCCTTCAAGGGGTTCTGTAATTCCTGCTGTTACTGGAAAAGCAAAATATTCGTTACACATATAGGGTGTTAAATAAAGAATAGTTTAAAAAAACTAACAAAATACGCTTTTATAGAAAATCCATGGTATCAGTAGTTATAAATATTTTATGATAAGATATGAGTAGAAGGGTTATTTTAATAATATCCTGAAAAGCATCGCACGCGGTTTTTTACAATAAAATCATTTTTTCTTATACTATTTTTAATTCAAATTTATTAAAATTTATTTTCTATTTTATAGTTGGATTTTCTATAAACGCGTATTTTGGTAGTTTTTTTAAACTATTATTTATTTTTCATTTTTTAGTTGAATTTCATTTTTTTCAATATATTTTTTTAAATATTGAATTGTCTTCGCTCCTTAATAAGTATACCAAATTTTAAGTTAATCCAACGTTTTGAAGGGGTCAAAATCATGTTCAAAGATTCCGTTACATACATACGTCTGAAGCTAATAAAAGCGTATTAAATACTTTTAACGTGTTTTACCATATTGATGAAAAATATACAAAAATAGTGAAAAAAAAACAGTAATCAATATACAAAATTAAATGACTATTTGAAAATATAAACCCATCTTTTTTAAATAAGCTTCATTACAATTTACTAGNAAGGGGTCAAAATCATGTTCAAAGATTCCGTTACATACATACGTCTGAAGCTAATAAAAGCGTATTAAATACTTTTAACGTGTTTTACCATATTGATGAAAAATATACAAAAATAGTGAAAAAAAAACAGTAATCAATATACAAAATTAAATGACTATTTGAAAATATAAACCCATCTTTTTTAAATAAGCTTCATTACAATTTACTAGCCAGACATAGAAAATTCGCTTTTCAAATGGGCAGTATTTCAATACGACAACTTCATAGATTTTTACGTCTTCTTTTTAACTTAGTTGGTGATTCATGTGTAAGGATAGGGTGGACAGGTTGCATTAAAAATTAATATTTACTGATGGAAGGTCTTATGACTACAGTAGGAATGTCGCCGTGGTTTTCAGCCACAAGGTTCTCGGCGAGTGCTTTCGTGAAAGCGTATGTGTTTGGTTGACCATCTGAAAATGAGAAAAAAAAACAAATTGAAATAGATTAGGTTGTTTCCTTATTCTTATCGACTAATGATTTTTATGAGTATTCCGGACATTTTGTATTATTAATGTCAACTTTTTTGTTTGTGATTTTTCCTTTACTTTGTTTTCTCTGAAAATATTGTAAAGTATTTATAATCTATATCTATACTAATATTATAAAGAGGAAAGATTTGTTTGCTTGTTTGTTTCGAATAGGCTCCGAAACTACTGGACCGATTTGAAAAATTCTTTTTCCATTAGAATCCGACATTGGCCCTGATGAACTTTTTTTTTTTTTTTTGGTTTCATGTCTGTTTTAATGTTTCCGAAGCGAAGCGAGGGCGGGTCGCTAGTATGTTATATTTACCGTTGACACAAAAATTATAATGTAGTCATGTGGTTCACCAATATTATATACAAAATTACAAGGCCATTTCCGAGCGATCGCTTCAGAATTAAATGATAGTATCTCTTTTTAATTGTTGCTTAGACGGTTGAACGAGTTCACGGCCCGCCTAGTGTTAAATGGTTACCGGAGTCCATTGACTTCACCCACATTGAGACTTGAGATCTCAATTTCGTGGTGATTGCGAAAATCATTTCTTTTTACGTATTTACTTTTGATTACACGATGTTATTCCTTCATTGTGGAAGTCCTTCTTGAAAATGGGTTAATTACTTGTACGTAATTCATTAGAAAAATTAATCATTAGTCTTAGTTATTACTTAGTCGTATAGCACGACGACTTCAACAAATGTGTGAGGCGAGAAAATACCGCGGTGCGTTTTTATAAATGCACGCAGAGATGAGCTCAAAGCCACATTTTTTTTATAGCGGCTATCCTCACAACTCCCATTACTACCAACTTCGAGACAGACATGATCCGGCTGTACAGGGATACACGGATATACCCGTGGGGATCCACAATGCGGTATACTAACCTTAGTCCTAATGATATGTGATTTGTATTCTCGATTTATTTGCAACATAATTTTGGTTCTTACCCGGTTTTAAATGCAAATAAAACTGGGTGTCTTTGCGAAGGTGCAGATAAGTCACAGAATAGGCAATAAGACTTAGATCTTTACTTACTTAATAAATAAGTAACAATACTTACTGAGTATTTTACTGATATTCTTCTCGTTGTTTCCGTGTCGTTTGATAGTTTCGTATACTTCCGCTACTCTTGCGGGTGGAGGGTAGATAACCTCTTCTATAATATCTAACTGTGTGTGAGCATATGCTGTCGATATATACACAAAGACCTGTTGGTAGAGATTCGTTATCAACAGAGGCAGCATGGTGTTAAGTGGTTACTGGAGCCCATAGACATCTACGACGTAAATGCGCCACCCACCTTGAGATATAAGTTCTAAGGTCTCAATATAGTTACAACGGCTGCCCCGCCCTTTAAACCGAAACGCATTACTTCTTTACGGCAGAAATAGGCGNGCTGTCGATATATACACAAAGACCTGTTGGTAGAGATTCGTTATCAACAGAGGCAGCATGGTGTTAAGTGGTTACTGGAGCCCATAGACATCTACGACGTAAATGCGCCACCCACCTTGAGATATAAGTTCTAAGGTCTCAATATAGTTACAACGGCTGCCCCGCCCTTTAAACCGAAACGCATTACTTCTTTACGGCAGAAATAGGCGGGGTGGTAGTACCCACCCGCGCGGACTCTCAAGAGGTCCTACCACCAGTGCATCTCAAGAGGTCCTACCACCAGTGCAGCTCATCTACTATTGAGATTTTGGCCTGTCCTCTATCCTGCTCCTCGACCGTTTTGTCGGATGAGCTTCGGATTCACCTGATCTTAAGCGGTTGTCAGTTTTTTCGATCAACAAACCCTAAATTAATATTGACACGGTCGAAACGTCCACCGGAACGCGCAGTCTTTTTTTTGCGGCAGAAATAGATCGAATGACGGTATCTGGTGGAATCTACTCGTGCTTACTTACACGCGTCACTAAAATTGTCTTTATATAGATATTTTCGATGCTTTGTGCAAAAAGAAACAACTTTATATTTTTAATATTTAAATTCATGAATTGCTTTGAAGTTTAAAATGTTAATTGGATAATTACGCAATTTAATTGCAGTTTACCTTTATATTCTTTATTTTACGACACAAACGCATGACCTGTTCGGTTCCTTGATAGTTGATTTTCATTGCATATTCAAGTGCATCGTTAAACTTGACTGTGGCACCTGAATGAATTACAACCGACACCTGTGATCGAAGAAAAATTTTTATCTATAGATATATATAAAAATGAATTGGGTCGGCGGTGACCGGGGAATATCGTTAATAAATAAACTAAATAGGAGCGGAGAGAGAACGGAGCTTTGCGGGACTCCAGCCGTGAGTGGTCGCGGGGAGGAGCGGTTTCCCTCTACTCGATATCGAAAATAGCGGTTAGACAGGAAGTCCCGTATGATGATCACGAGACTGTCCGGTACGCCCATGTTGAAAAGTTTGAAAATCAAACCGTTGTGCCAGACTTTGTCGAACGCTTTTGCGACGTCGAAGAAGAGAGCTCCCGTGTAGATCGGCTTTGGTCGGTTAAGTCCTACGAGAATATGCTCCGTGAGGCGGTGCACCTGTTGTACGCATGAGTGATTTGCACGGAATCCGAATTGTTCATCGATGAGAATGCTCTTGGATGAGACGAAATCTCTGAGGCGTTTGTAGAGCAGACGCTCATACAGTTTGCCTAGAGACATGAGGAGGCTAATCGGGCGGTAGCTCGTCGGATGATTTTTTGGTTTACCGGGTTTATGTATGCCGATAACGTCCGCTTTTTTCCACACCGCGGGAAAGATACAGTTCGCCATAGCGGCATTGAAAATAGATACCATGTCACCACTGACGCGGTATTTTCCAGATATTTAGAAGATATCAAGTCTCAAACTTATGTTTGTTATTTCAGTTACCATAAACCTATAGTTTCAATGATAAATATTCCTGAATAACCTACATGTATTGTAAGATAATAAAAATATTTTGAACAATACTAACTTCTCATTTATTTAATAAAAGAAAAAAAATTGTTTTCTTATCGGTCACCACGCTCAAAAAGTGTAAGTTGAATTAATAGTTGAATTAATAATAGAATAATAGAATAAACGGCCGTCTGGTGTAGTGGTAAGTGACATGGTCACTACACAAGGGGGTCGCGGGTTCGAATCCCGCCAAGGGAAGATATTTGTATGATAAATATAAATGTCTTTTCCAGGGTTATGGATGTATATTAAATATATGTATGTGTATAATAAAAATCTTATATTTATTTCCGTTCTCTGTACCTGTAACACAAGTTCTTTACGAACTTATCACGGGACCGGTTAACGAGGCGTGTAAAAAATAAATAAATAAATTAATATTTTTATTATAATGAACTTCCCACGACACCACACATCTTTTTATAGCAATAACTAAAAACTGTAATTTTTTTTCTTACATATAGCTTACCTCATCGATTAGTTTTTCTTCATCACTAGGCTCCAGATCAAGGTTCGGTTTGCATAAGTCTCCAGCAATAGGCACAATTTTATTCAAATCTTCCGGTCTTTCATTCTTCAGTCGAGTAAAAATCTGTTCTCGGAGAAAGTTGAAAAAGGCTATTTTATAAGTTTTTTTTATTGCTTAGATGGGTGGACGAGCTCACAGCCCACCTGGTGTTAAGTGGTTTCTGGAGCCCATAGACATCTAAAACGTAAATGTGCCACCCTCCTTGAGATATAAGTTCTAAGGTCTCAGTATAGTTACAACGGCTGCCCCGCCCTTCAAACCGAAACGCATTACCGCTTCACGGCAGAAATAGGAGCAGGGTGATGATACCTACCCGTGCGGTAGGTATCATCATTTAGTCATGGTAGGTAGGACAAAAGGTCCTTTTTTTATGATTGATAGATTACTGGTGGCCCGGAGGCTTTTCCAGTTTCACCAGGACACGTGGGCGAGCAAAGGCTCAGCCAGGAGGGGTGGGATTTGCTAACAGCTACCCGAGCGCCTCCGAAGGAGACCTAACAGCTCAAGAGTAGCTGCTTCGCGAATGAATCTACTACCGGATCGGAATCGCGACCCGCTGAGAAGATCCGGCGAGAAACTCAGCGAGCTGATTCATGGGTTAGGTTGCANTGCCCCGCCCTTCAAGCTGAAACGCATTACTGCTTCACGGCAGAAATAGGCAGGGTGATGATACCTACCCGTGCGGACTCACAAAAGGTCCTACCTACCATGAATCAATATTAAGTGTAATAAATATGATTATCAATGGCTATGACTTAATTTTACTGAGCTTACACTGCTTTACACTGCTTAGTTGTATGTGACTTGTATCAATTGACGCTGCAGTTTTATTCTGAGCAGGGACTAGTTTTTCGATAGCCAGATCTACTAAATAAGCAGTCACCAATGGAGAAGGAGATCCTTACGCGGAAGTGGCATTGGATTGGTCACACTTTGAGAAAGCCCGATACCCACCTATCAAAGAGAGCACTGACCTGGAAAGTGTCTGGCAAAAGGAAGAGAGGCCGCCCCAGAACAACTTGGCGTCGCTCGGTGGAGCAGGAGCTAGGGGTCTTGGGCATGACGTGGGAGGAGCTAGAACAGACTGCCCAAGACCGATATAAATGGAAAAATTTGATTCGAGCCCTACACCCCAGCAGAGGGTAATAGGAAAGAATGATGATGATGATGATGAGATCTAGTAAGAGAAGCACTTGGTGGAAGTCTGTAGCATGCGGTCCATGCCACCCATGATCGAACACAGTGGAAGAACGTCGGTCGCGATCCTCAGCAGTGAGGGAACGATATAGAAGAACTATATAGTTTTCCAGATTAAAAAGCAGTTATTATGTTTTAACGAATAATTTCCATCAATCTTATTTAAATATTTCTAAAGTCCCAACGAACATTCCAGAGCATACTTACCGGACTATCAAGAAGTTGTTTTAATTTTTGTAAAACATTCTGCTTGGATGTTTCTCGTATCAATACGTAAATTTTATTCAATGCGGGACAGCTGTATACCAACTTCTCGACTAGGACCTGCAATTAAATTTCAATAATGATGTAATGGATCCAAAATAGAATTGAACTTGTTTTTCCAAAGATTTCTTTCGTAAAAGGTAATTAATAACATTCCTTAGTAAACAACCGTAATTTAGAAGTTTCTTCTCTGCTAATAGCAAATAATAATATTTTGAACAGAGACATTAAATTTGATCAGGAATTTAACTTGGACACTATCAAAGCATTAAAAATCACTGGTATGAAGTTTGTGGTAGAGGTAACCAATTCAAAGTCATATTTGTTCTGAAGATAAGTGCTGATCCATGAAAACATTTCTGTTAGTATTCATTAAAAATTATCCCTAACATGGGATAAACACCTAACTTAGAAAAAACAATTGAACTTAGACCGATGAATTGTAAATATTTGTTTTAATTATAGCCGCTTAGTAAACATGTTTTTTTTTATTTTTTTATTGCTCAGATGAGTGGACTGGTGTTAAGTGGTTACTGGAGCCCATAGACATCTACAACGTAAATGCGCCACCCATCTTGAGATATAAGTTCTAAGGTCTCAAGTATAGTTACAACGGCTGCCCCACCCTTCAAACCGAAACGCATTACTGCTTCACGGCAGAAATAAGCAGGGTGGTGGTGGTACCTACTCGCGCGGACTCATAAAAGGTCGTACCACAAGTACGTACGTAATTTTTAGAACATAACTATTCGAAATTACCTTCCCTAGGAATCCTGTTCCTCCTGTAACGAAGACTGTTTTTCCAGCATAGAAATCCGGTATGGATTTATAAGAATCGTGGGCGATCATATTATAGCCTGAAAATTTAAAATGTCGTCACCGAACTGATTTGACGAGAGCAGTTAATTTAACTTAGTGGCACGAATCTCAGGCCTTTGTCCAGCAGTGAGCTTGTGCTATTATGACCATATTGTTTTGACACGTCTTGCATTAATAGTTTGGCTACGAAATCGCAAATTCTGGGTAGACTACTAGTATAACTATCGATTCATCTTTATATTAATATGTGAAGCAAAAACTTTGTATCCCTTTTTACGAAAATTGCGCGGACGGAGGAGTAGGAAATTTTCCACACTTATAGAGAATATAGAGAAGAAGTGCACAATGCTAAGATTTTTTAAAATAATGTATAAAAACTACATTAAATCAATAAAGAAAACATTACACACACTACATACCATGTATTTGACGCACACACGTATGCATACTATTTATTGTCAAACTTTGTTCTTGACGTCTGTTGTCAAATTGAGAATAGAATATGGTTTGTCTTTGTTAATATTTTTATAGTGTAGTCTTGGCGAAATTTGTGATTATAGAAGTATAAAATACAATCTAATTGACCGAATTTATGCTCAAAGCTCTAAGGAAGCTTCCCAATCAGTCAACAGAGTGCAACGTGGGCACTATCCGACTTCAGTGATGGTTTGGTGGCTATGAAGTAGTGACTGAGCCATACTTTTGTGAAAAAGGTATCAAAACATCGGCACAAGTGTATCAAGATACCATTCTTGAGAAGGTAGTGAAGCCCCTTAACAACACCATGTTCAATAATCAAGAATGGTCCTTCCAGCAAGACTCGGCGCCAGGTCATAAAGATCGGTCTACGCAGTCTTGGTTGGAAACGAACGTTTCGGACTTCATCAGAGCTGAAGACTGGCCGTCGTCTAGTCCCGATCTTAATCCGCTGGATTATGATTTATGGTCAGTTTTAGAGAGTACAGCTTGCTCTAAGCGCCATGATTTGGAGTCCCTAAAACAATCCGTACGATTGGCAGTGAAAAATTTTCCCATGGAAAGAGTGCGTGCTTCTGTTGATTACTGGCCTCAACGTTTAAAGGACTGTATTGCAGCCAATGGAGACCACTTCGAATAAGCTTTTTATACTTTAAATTGTTTTATATTTATGTATTAAACTAACACACTGTAGAAGTAATAAATGTTATTTGAAATAATAATGTTAATCTTAAATGCCCAGTGAAGCGGAGGGGTACAGCTTGTTATTTATATTAGTACTAGATGATGATCGGTTTTTTTTTATAACGCCATCTTGTTGTGTCTTTAAAGCGGCTAGTTGCCCCCAATTAAGAAAAATAGTATTATTATTCGCCAATAGATGTCGGGAAGAGTTGATTATTGAAAACAGGAATGCCCCACCCTTAAAACCAAAACGCATTACTGCTTCACGGCAGAAACAGGCAGGGCGGTGGTACCCACCCGCGCGGACTCACAAGAGGTCCTACCACCAGTAATTACGCAAATTATAATTTTGCGAGTTTCATTGTTTTTATTACATGATGTTATTCCTTCATCGTGTAAGTCAATCGTGAACATTTGTTGAGTACGTAATTCATTAGAAAAATTGGTACCCGCCTGGGATTCGAACACTTGCGGAGAGTACTTTATGGTAGGCAGCGGCTTGGCTCTGCCCCTGGCATTGCTGACGTCCATGAGCGACGGTGACCACTTACGATCAGGTGGGCCGCATGCTCGTCTGCCTACAAAGGCAATAAAAAAAAAAAACCGTTGCATCGTTCAACACGAATGCACCGGACGTCTTAAGCCACGACGACTTCAATTATATATTATTATCAACACATATAATAAAATCGTAACTGGTCGCTGTCTGTAGATGGAAGATATTTCAGGAAAACTGTTATAGGGGGCTTTATGAACGCAATACAACCCAAAAAAATGATTTTTAGAATTTTTGTCTGTTTATCTCTTTGTCTGTTTGTCCGTGCGTTTGTGCACGCTAATCTCAGAAACAGCTCTGATTTAAATGTGGTTTTCACTAATTTACAACATTTGGTGTTTGTTTCATGTGAATCGGTTCATAAATAAAAAAGTTATGCCAATTTAAAGAATCACGTATATAGCTGGGCGTTTGTAGATTGTTTACGCCTGTGCGGCCGCGCGGGTATGCAAAGTGCGGCCGCGCCGCTGCTTCCTTCACGAACCCGTCGCTTGCGACGAAGGGCTCGATGAGTAAATTAACCCATAGGCACGTTTGTTTTCTATAGTTAAAAGATTAGGTTGACACGACTTAATAGTTATTAATAATGAATAAACTGTAATAAAGTTAAACTGTGTAATAATCTGTAAGTATTTATAATTTAGTTTTAGATAAGTACGTGTTTACCAAACAACGTTGTGTTAGTAGGTACTACTTATTGTAAGAATGCCTCGAAAAAGATCCAACATCTCCCAGTGCAGCAGGAATGCTAAAAGGTAGAAATTAGTTCGATCACAGGAATCTAAAGCAGGTCATGAAGCAATACTCACTACATCTCAGGAACGTCAGGCGAGGTTTCGTGTCAGAGAAAGGTCCAGGCTTCCAGGTCCTACAAGAAGGTAATTGCCAAGGCGAAGTCGTAGCACGTTGCTAGAGTTGGCGAGCGATTAAAGAGCTATCCCTCTGGGAGCCGTGCTTTTTGGTCGCTCGCCAAAGCTGCAGAAGGAAACTTTTGCAGGTCTAGTCTCCCACCACTGCGCAAGTCCGATGACACTGGCTCACAGCGCGAAAGAGAAGGCTGACCTTTTGGTCAAACTCTTCGCCTCGAACTCGACTGTAGATGACGGGGGTGCCACACCACCGAACATCCCTTCTATCGAAGCTACCATCTTACGGAATCCTCGAGGGTCTCTGCAAGTGGATCGCTAGCTTTTTGGATGGGCGGAGCATCACGGTCGTTGTAGACGGTGACTGTTCTGATACCATGACCATTAACGCTGGCGTTCCACAAGGTTCGGTGCTCTCCCCCACGCTTTTCATTCTGTATATCAATGACATGCTGTCTATTGATGGCATGCATTGCTATGCAGATGACAGCACCGGGGATGTGCGATATATCGGCCATCAGGGTCTCTCTCGGAGCGTGGTGCAAGAGAGACGATCAAAACTTGTATCTGAAGTGGAGAACTCTCTGGGGCGAGTCTCCAAATGGGGTGAATTGAACTTGGTTCAATTCAACCCGTTAAAGACACAAGTTTGCGCGTTCACTGCGAAGAAGGACCCCTTTGTCATGGCGCCGCAATTCCAAGGAGTATCCCTGCAACCTTCCGAGAGTTGGGATTGGGATACTTGGGGCCGACATTTCGAGCGATGTCCAGTTTCGGAGTCATCTGGAAGGCAAAGCCAAGTTGGCGTCCAAAATGCTGGGAGTCCTCAACAGAGCGAAGCGGTACTTCACGCCTGCACAAAGAATTTTGCTTTATAAAGCACAAGTCCGGCCTCGCGTGGAGTACTGCTCCCATCTCTGGGCCGGGGCTCCCAAATACCAGCTTCTTCCATTTGACTCCATACAGAGGAGNCCCATCTCTGGGCCGGGGCTCCCAAATACCAGCTTCTTCCATTTGACTCCATACAGAGGAGGGCCGTTCGGATTGTCGATAATCCCATTCTCACGGATCGTTTGGAACCTCTGGGTCTGCGGAGGGACTTCGGTTCCCTCTGTATTTTGTACCGTATGTTCCATGGGGAGTGCTCTGAGGAATTGTTCGAGATGATACCGGCAACTCGTTTTTACCGTCGCACCGCCCGCCACCGGAGTAGAGTTCATCCATACTACCTGGAGCCATTGCAGGCATCCACAGTGCGTTTCCAGAGATCTTTTTTGCCACGTAACATCCGGCTATGGAATGAGCTCCGCTCCACGGTGTTTCCCGAGCGCTATGACATCTTATTCTTCAAACGTGGCTTGTGGAGAGTATTAAGCGGTAGGCAGCGGCTTGGCTATGCCCCTGGAATTGCTGAAGTCCATGGGCGACGGTAACCACTCACCATCAGGTGGGCCGTATGCTCGTCTGCCTACAAAGGCAATAAAAAAAAAGAAAAAGAAACTTCGGCTCAGCGAGAATTTCGATTGAGTCCACATTGTTCTCAATAAAAGACCACTCGAATTGCGCAAGTTTGTCCATCGATCGTGAATCTTATACACTATCGCGTGAGTCTGAGACTTTCACTGATACGGAATCCCGCCTGAGCTCCTCAGAGGGTTTGGACAGCAAATGCCCGGTTTTAGGAGACACTTGAAGAACGAGAAACACTTCTCACTGCCGATCGCGAGGCGCATGCACTATCGCTTGAGTCTGGGACCTTTACTAATAATGAAATCCGTGTGAGCTTTCAGAGGGCTCGGACAGCAATTACCTGGTCTCAGGAGACACTTGAAGAACGAGAAGCACGTCTCTCTGCCGATTGCGAGGCTCATGCACTATCGCTTGAGTTTGAGACCTTTACTGATAGGGAAATCCGTCTGAGCTCTCAGAGGATTCGGACAGAAAATGCCCGGTCTCAGGAGACACTTGCAGAATGAGAAGCACGTCTCACTGTCGATCGCGAGGCGCATGCACTATCGCTTGAGTCCGAGACCTTTACTGATAGGGAAATCCGTCTGAGCTCTCAGAGGGTTCGGACAGCAAAAGCTTGCCCGGTCTCGGGAGACACTAGATGAACGGGAAGCACAGCTCACTACCGATCGCGTTTCCAGTGAGCCTATGCTTCGTGATGATAATAAATAAAGCCCAAGGTCAGACGCTAAAAGTTGTGGTTGTAGATATAAGTGTTAACTGCTTTTCACACAGTCAACTCGGTCACACGGTTATGTAGCTCTGTCACATGTTAGCAATCCTAGCAACCTGTATGCTTTGATCCCCGATGGCTATACGTCTATGTCGTGTATAGAGAAGCGTTACTTTAAATTAGATTTTTCTAAATACCTGTGTTGTATCTATTTATTTTATGTTTATGTAGCCGTTCAAATGGTGTGAGCGAGTATTGTTTAATAAACAAGCGATAGTGTTCTGTGGACACGTCCTTTATTTACAATGATACAGACAATACTGACGTGCTGTAGGCACAGTACATCCCCCTTAATAAGTATACTCGTACAATATTATTCTAAACATAGAAAAAAAAAGATTAAGTATTTTATTGTTATAACTAATAGTTTCCTTTAACACTAAACAGACAATACTGACGTGCTGTAGGCACATACCCAATTGACGGTGCTTATAGACCAAAAGATATGTTCTAAAACTGTTGCCCAAAGTCGCGATTCCACGCGGACGGAGTCGCGGGCACACCTAGTGACTTAATAAATTGACTGTAGACTTGATTAAGATTTATCGCCATTTGAAATTGAAGGCTAGCACATTGACATTGTAGCGTGACAACAACTGCAAGATATTTTACAATACATATTGTGTAACTAAGCAAACTGTGTAGTTGCAATGTAGTTTAATTTATGCTCTAGATTTATGATATTGTCATCGCATCGTTAAATAATAACTATTTATTATTATCATGAGTGATGAGCTCACCGGATAATAAATTTGACAAACTTTATCTTTCATGCCGAATGCTATTAATCATTTCAAGTTAAACTCGTTCGTTTATTATAAGTAAATCGAACTTAGTACAAATCGTGAGTGTTTTTGGATGTTTTTCTTAAGCGTAATTATTCAGCTAGTGAGATTACAGCGTGTTTCTCGCCGGATCTTCTCAGTGGGTTGCGATTTCGAACCGGTGGTAGATTCTGCAAAGCACTGCTCTTGCTAGGGCTAGTGTTAGTAAATCTTCTCAGGTTGAGCCCGTGAGCTCACCTACCCTTCCGGGCGTAGCTGTAATAGCCCCTTAGGTTACCAGCGAATAGATAGAAAAAAAATTACAGTATACGTTACTCCCCTACTCTCTCCTCTGCTCTATACTCATAAAATAAATCCCGAAAACGGTCGGAATTACGGATCTATGGCTGTTATCATCTTATATTGAATAAGCTGCAAAATGCGTCATTGACAATATTGCCAGAAAGATCTACCAGTCGAATCTGATAAGAAATGTGAGGATATTAAATAATTTAGAACGAATTACTTTGTTAAAATTGAAAATCTGCTTGTGATGGGAAAATAAATAAATAATTCTATTTGTATTTTAATTACAAATGAAAAAAAATCGCTTAGCATACAATGTAGGTCTAGGTACGCTCAAAAATAGAGCAAACAAGGTTGATGAAGGGCAAATGTATATCAAGTGTTTCAACACCGGCCGTGAAGTGGTATTTTAAACAAACATTTCATTGTTTCTGTAAATTGCACATGATTATGAACGGCCCGTCAGGCCTGTCAGGCCTTCTTTAAATTAATTAAAAAGATGCAAGTTTACCGAACTTATCCTTAATCAGGAAGGTAAGAAGGAAGGTCACTTCATTAGTATCGCATTTTTATTCAATTGGGTAAAATCATATATCAATGTCGTCAAATAGCAACCATATTTGCAGGTACTTGAGTGCATCGGCCATATTACCAGGCATCTGAACAGTTTAGAAGCTCATCATCAAAAATCGAGATGATATAATATATGATATAAAAAATAGCTTAATAATAATAATAATAGCCGGGGTCAAATCACGCACGGTCATACGGGCCCAATTTAGGATTTCCTGTATTATTGGTACCAGACTGATAAACATATTTATAAGTTATTAAATTTATATATATATAGATAATAAACATCCAGACAAAGTGCAAATAAACGTGTTCATCACACAATGTTTGATTGTCGTGAGCTAAAAACAAAAACTATTCATATCAATGGGCATTACTATCGCACGATCCCCAATTCTCGCAAGCTATATTTTCACTTACGACACGCGTGTATACGAACAATTGACTTGTAAGCTTTTCAAATAAAAAATAAACTTGAGTGATTACTGATGGTGTATTGTATTTATATCGAAGAGAATAGGGTTAAATACCATAACCCAACCTAATTCTATCTTGAAGGTCTGTGGCGGGTAGCCATCATACAACGCAAGATATTTGACAGATGCCTGAATCTCGCTTACGACATTTTCAAGATAAGCTTGCATATATAAAAGTTCCGAACAATAACATTCGGACCGTCGGACTACCGAGCAAACATCACCCGCTCAGTGGAAGATCTTCCCTGCGTCGTTTAAGCATCCCCAAAGATCTTATGGGTTCTAGCTTGAACAACGGGATAACGGTTACATAATGACATTGAGACTTCAAACTTTAATCCCAAGGTCGATATTTATGGCAATTTACTAAAAATCAGGTTAGCTGCAAGCTGATTTGTGCCCAGTGATATCATAGTTAAAGTCATTAACGAATTGGCTAACAATGCGGTCAAGGAACATTTTATACTTGTAAATGACATTGTATTACTTTGTAATTGTAAATCGAATTGTACATATGTGATTACCGACTGAGACATACTTAGTTTTATGCTTGGGAGTCAATTATTTCGAGTCTTTTAGTTTTGAGGAAGCCATAGCAAAGAGATCACTGCGGCCTCTAATTGTTGGCCTGTGATTATTCTTAGAACCCCAAGATTGGACTCCAAGGGGATTCCTGTCGCAGAATATTATGCATTGAATTCCATTTATTCATCGTTCCCATAAGCAATATAGTCTAGTCAACAAGTGCCTTTTTGGTCAACATTTTTTTAACAGTCTCCGAAAATTATGTTTGAGGTGTCATTCGATTCGGAATGGCATCTAGATGATTTTTGAAAAAAAAAATGAAGTTCCGCATGCAAAAATTGCAAAAGTTATTAACAATTAACTAAAAAAGAAGGAGGTTTAGTTTTTTGCAAATATCTCAAACACTAATGAAAAAAATTCAAATTCAAAAAAAAATGAAAGAGAAGGAAATTTCCCAAAAAAAAGTCCGTACTCTCGGAACTGTAGGACCGATATTTATAATTTTCCCAGAGGGATGAAAATACGGCCGAAAACGGGTACTCTATATGAGCTAACTTTAACGCTATCGAGAACTTTAAAAAACTCACACTAAGCACACTGGTTACTAGACCCATTCTGCGATCCGATGTTCAATATTAAATTTACGTATAAATAAAATAAAGTAAACTCACAGGTTCAATATGTCTTGTAACGTTCACTCGCCACAAAATTAATTGCGAAACTGAGAGAAAAATCACCATTGCTTCGCTTTTATATTTCTTTAGGGAAATGTTCATCTAGACTTAAGGTAAGGCTTAAGGTAATTTATTCCTGTTTTGAACTATTGAAATGAATGGAATCTCAATGATATCCGAATGAACTATTGAATATTTAAAAAAATATATGTTCAAACATTTGGTTCGAATGGATTCCACATTTTTACGCGACTAATTTTTACAAAGCCTTAGAAGAAAAGCCAAGATACTTAGTTCGAAAAAAAAGGCACCATACATTACAAACGGAGTGTTTTTTTTTATAGCTAAAATGTTTGGACGAGCTCACAGCCCAGTATTAAGTGGTTACTGCAGCCCATATATCTCAAGGTGGGTGGCACATTTACGTCGTAGATGTCTATGGGCTCCAGTAACCACTTAACACCAGGTGGGCTGTGAGCTCGTCCACCCAACTAGCAATAAAAAAAAAGTTCAGAGACAGTAATGAAATTAAGTTTAAATAACAGACTATTTATCCCTCTAATTATAAATAAATTAAAATCAATATTGTTCATGGGGATACAGAGATATTAAAAAAATAAGATAAGAATTTTAGGTTATATAATATGATTTTGCTGTCAATACACTGACACTTGAACATCATCATCAGCTTAAATCTGTACTATATCTATACTAACTAGTGGTCCCGCAGTAGTCGAAATTCGACTATAATTAATTGAAATTATAAGTTTCAACATTATTATGGTCCTATTGTTACAGATTTCGCCAAGGCTACACTATAGACAAATACTCGTAATATTAAAGATAAACAATACTAACCTATTCTCAATTTGACTGCAGACTTTAAGCAATAACAACAGTTTGACAATAAACAAAGAGTATATGTGTGTGTGTCAAATAAATGGTAGTGTGTGTAATGTTTTCTTTATTGATTTAATGTATCTTTTATGCATTATTTAAAAAAAATATTAGCATTGTGCACTTCTTCTCTATATTTTAATATAATTTAATCTATATATAAGTGTGGAAAATTTCATACTCCTCCGTCCGCGCAATTTTCGTAAAAAGGGATATACAGTCAAACCTGGATAAGCGAGAGTTCAAGGGAGCACAATCTCATTCTCGCTTATAGAGGTTTCTCACTAACCCGAGTTTCTCGCTAATGCTCCTCTGAATTTCGTTTCGCGATTTTCCGCATTCAAATGCATTCACTATTTTAAGTTTATCACTTAATGACAGTACATTAATTTTCCGTTTTTACATGATGCAGAACAGAACTTTCCTTCGCAGTTGATTAACGATAAACTAAGTAAGTCCGACAAACAGGACGGTACACAGGTACACGTGTCCATTCGAAAATAATGTGATAAAAGAATACGATAAAATAACAACGTTATTTAGTTCCATGAAATAGAATAGGTTCATTATTCACGAGAAAACAATACAAAAACAATGATAGGAAGTTCCACGAAAGTTAAAAATGAGTCATAAAATAGCAGATGTTAAATTTGTAATTTGTTTTGTCATTTGTTCCTCCTAAATAATATAAATAAATAAATAAATCTCGGCTGTCGCTTATAGAGGTATAGATAGGTAGCAGTCTCATTTACGGAGGTCCATGAGGAAAAAACGACTCTCTCTTACAGAGGTTTCTGTTTCTCGCTAATAGAGGTTTTGGGAGCTTAAAATGACGGGTCCTGGCTATTACTCTCACTTATAGAGTTTTCTTACTTATCCAGTTCTCACTTACCCAGGTTTGACTGTACAAAGTTTTTGCTTCACGTATTAATATATAGATTATATAAATCTACAGTGGTTTTTACGGATGTTCCGTTATAACTACTGGACCATGCATCCGATTGACTTGAAACTTGGTATCCATGTAGAAAATACATGTCCTTAATGGATAGGCTAATATTTATATGAGTGTTGGACTCCCTACACCAGTTGCGGGGGCGTTAATGATGAGAACATTTGTGCGGGTGGGAAATAATAATGTTAATTTTAAATGCCCAGCGAAGCGGAGGGGTACAGCTAGTTATTTATATTAGTGTACTTTATGACACAGACCTAATTCACAAGACTTTTTTTTTTATTTTTTATTGCCTAGATGTGTGGACGAGCTCACAGCCCACCTGGTGTTAAGTGGTTACTGGAACCCATAGACATCCACAACAAATGCGCCATACACCTTGAGATATAAGTTCTAAGGTCTCAAGTATAGTTACAACGGCTGCCCCACCCTTCAAACCGAAACGCATTACTGCTTCACGGCAGAAACAGGCGGGGCGGTGGTACCCACCCGTGCGGACTCACAAGAGGTCCTACCACCAGTAATTACGCAAATTATAATTTTGGGGGTTTGATTTTTATTACACGATGTTATTCCTTCACCGTGGAAGTCAATCGTGAACAATTGTAATGTACGTATTTCATTAGAAAAATTGGTACCCGCCTGCGGGATTCGAACGCCGTTGCATCGCTATATAGGAACGCACCGGACGTCTTATCCTTTAGGCCACGACGACTTCTCTATAATAAGCAGGTATCGCAACGAAACACTTATTAGTATCCACAATGCCCACGAGTGCGAAAACGAGTGATCAAAGGTAATGTACATGTAATGTAACGTCAATAAACATTAAACAAGCGTAGTTTTTGGAACGAAGTTCCTTATCGCGCGTTGTGAAAGGGGGCTAGACGGAAAAAATTCTTACGAAAAGTTGTCACGACACTTTTTAGATCCGTCATTCTGACCAATCAACGTGTAGGCGCTTATCGCGTGACATTGCTCGTATCCGATTGGTCCGCGTAATGAGTACAGTTTCTCGAGATAGCGTTTCAACAATAGTAATTTAGTTCATAGTATTGTTTTTTTCTTCTTCATAATGCCGTAATTTATTATTATAANTTTTGTTATTCCCTTCCCACAAAACCAATTTCTATTCTCACTCCTTTACTGTGCACGCGGTCAGACTGTGGAATTCGTTGCCGGCTGACATCCGAGTTTGCAAGTCTGTTTCTGTTTTTAAATACAAGGTCAAACAATTTTATCTCTCATCAACCGAATGATCATGGTTCTATACTCTTCGCATATACGAGTGTTACTGTGTTACTTATAATATTTGCTATGTGTATGTGCTATAATTCTCATGTTGTATTTGTTATTTTAGTTATGTGTTATTTGTTCTACACACACTTATCACTTTTTATTATTATTCTCATTATCCTCTCGCAGGTCTGCTGGAAGAGATTTCTCAAAGAAATAAGCAGTGCCTTTGTACATAATTTTCCTATTACTCTGTACTGTATCTTGTTTTCTGTGTGTACATAAATAAATAAATAAATAAATAAATACATAGTATAAAACAAAGTCGCTTTCTCTGTCCTTATATCCCTAAATATGCTTAAATCTTTGATGCGGTTTTTTTTAATAGATAGAGTGATTGAAGAGGAAATTTTATATGTATAATAACATCAATTAAATAGTGGAGGAATCAATAATAAATTACAGTTTCCGAAGCGAAGCGAGGGCGGGTCGCTAGTAATATATAAATATTATTGCGGGAGCGTTCAAAGATTTGATCAATTTGATATTTCCGCTCTGAATTTATTTTGTACTCACCTGGATACGTCTGCCCGATGTAGTTGTCTGGAAATTCAGTGGCTGTTTATTTTTCATTTGCTATTCACTGACAAGAGAAGCAAACATACGTACGAAATGTTAATTGAACGATACTGTTTATTCATTTGTTTACTAACAACAATGCGTTTGTTTTTGTACTAAAAAAAAATATTCATACACAGCGTGTGACTATGAAGAAAGTTTCACTTTTTTTATTACAGAAGGAAGTCTGAAAGTGGCATCTGTGACAGAGAAGTTGAGAAGCGCGTGTTTGGGATAGTATTGACATGTGATGAGACAAAAAAATAATAATAATAAATAAATATTTACTAACAATCACGCCACGTTATCTGGTCCCGTGATAAGTTCGTAAAGAACTTGTGTTACAGGTACCAGATAACGGATATAAATGTAAGATTTTTATTATACACATACATATATTTAATATACATCCATAACCCTGGAAAAGACATTTATATTTATCATACAAATATCTTCCCTTGGCGGGATTCGAACCCGCGACTCCCTTGTGTAGTGACCATGTCACTTACCACTACACCAGACGGCCGTATAAATGACAATGAGGTTGGTAAGAGAGTTTTAATTATGAATGTGAAAGGCTTTAAAGGAAGAAGAACATATGGATAGATTGCGTGAAAGACGATATTTGTAAGAGGGGAGTGAGCGAGGAAATGGTATATGATAGAGGAGTATGGAAGGAGAAAACACGCTGCGCCGACCCCAGGTGACTGGGAGAAGGGCAGGAGAATGATAATATAGAGCTGTTGTGCGATTTGGAAACCTAAGCTGATGGTCTTGAGAGACCATTTCAGCGTAACCTTAACTAGTAGGTGAGCTCACGGAGCTCAAACCTGACGTCCTTGCTAACACTAACCGTGCCAAGAGAAGTGCTTCGCAGAATCTACTACCGGATCGGAAATGCGATCCACCGAGAAGATCCAGCGAGAAACTCAGTGGGCTGTATCTGTGGGTTAATTTGCTCGCGGAGTCCTTTGTCGCAAGCGACGGGTTCGACGAGAACGATGACCGGTGTTTGGGGTACCGAAAAGCACCGTTAGTGGTACGGGAGGATCCGAAATGACGTGTGATTTGGAAGAGGTCAATCAATAATTTAAATACAGCTGTAGATATATTGTGTTTTTTGCCAATAAAGAAAAACTATTTTAATGGACGAATGAAAACCCTGTAAGGGGCATCTTGAATTTGACTTGATATATAGTTATATATATTTTAGCTATGAAGTTGTTGTTTTAAACTACTGGTCATTAAAACGTAATTTATGTACATATATATGGCTGGCAATGAATTCCAAAGGCAAATGAATATAATTAAAAAAAAAATGGAATTATATTT